AATGTTATCATACTCAGGAGCAAAATTAACACAATCCCCAATAATCATGCACTGGTATGTCAGTCCCTTAAAGGGGTCATATTATGCTTTTTCTGGTTTTATATGCTCTTTAGTGTGTTTTCCAAGTGTCCTGTGCATGTTTAGGCAAATCTATGTGCAAAAAGTCTGCAGAACCGCGGCTTCTCCTACGTCCTCCTGTTAGCTGTAGCATTAGCCGCATGTAACGCTTGGTTCTAGCCCCCCTCGAAAAATGTTTGCCAGTGTGACGTCTTGTCAGTGTGAGATCACTGATCTAAGCCCATTGGCTCGTTGTGGCGCCCTGCAGCTCATGTAGCACGCCCACGATATGCCGTAGCCTGCGGTAGCACAGTAAAGCTAAGGTGCTAATGATTATGCTCCCCTCGGAGCCAAAGTGGCTGCATACGGTAAAAGGGGCGTGACATTTCCGAGAACCGTGCTGAGCGACTGACCAATTACGGCAGACAGGCCGACCAATCAGATCAGACTTGGCACACGTGGGAACTCTGAACATGGGCGCTTCAGAGCCTTAGACAGAGAGTCAGAAGCGAGCCGGTGCATGGAGCGACAGTTCATGAAAACAGACACTTTTTTATAACTTTAGCTATTGTGAACATACTTTAGAAGGTACATAGATTAAATATATGAACCCCAAAAAGGGCAGAATATGACCTCTTTAATAGGTGCAAGAATGCTCCTTAGTGTTTGCAGATTTTATTATTACACAAAAACATTTTCTCCAGGGAGAAAACCAAAACACACGGATGAATTATTAAATGTCAGAATCCTCTTAACAGCTGCGTCACTGGGATTTTAGAAGAAATTTCCTCCTAATTAGTAAATGAGGCCCATTGTTCATGTAATCTACGAATGTAAACCCTTGATGTTTACTTTCTTTTTCAGCCATCAACTGCAATGCCACGCTTCCTGTTCTCTGTAATGAGCCCCACCCAACCCACCCAGACACACACACACACACACACACACACACACACACAGGAAGCTGCTCTGGCACGTCTGCACACACACACCAGAAAACACACGGCTAATGGCTGCTTTGAATCCAATTTGGGTTGATGAGATCATAAACAAGGAACAAGATGGAAGATGCTTTAACCCATCAGCTTTATGTTTCTGTTAATCTGTTTCTTTTAATGTCATGGTGTTTGATCAAACAGCTTCAATCAAGACATGTCAAATAAGAAAACAAAACATAAGCAAATATGTGGCTTTGAGGTGTGTGTGATCTCAAACCGGAATGCTGCAGACCGGAAACCAGATTTAGAGGTAAGCTTTCTTGGTCTGACAGTGTGCCAATTACATGCATGCCTAAATTGGTTCTTAATACCAAACCTGCACAGCTGTAAGGGGGTTAAAAGTTCTGCTTTAGCGTGAAGTGAGTGAATAAGTTTGTGTTTAAACAAACACTGGAAGTCTTTCGACCATCCAGTATATACATTCTTAATTAAGACAACCAACAGCATTAAAGAACAACTATCGAGGAAGGGTCTCTTTGAAGTGTTCATCCTCTCAAAGGAAACATCATAACGGGACACAATAAGCAACTGATGAGGAGGTTTCCGTCCCACAAAGAGGACATACCGCGCCCACAGAGTTGTGCCATTGTGCCTCTTAACTCGCTTTTCTAAAAATAGACCACTAACAGACGAGCGCTGCTGATCTTTCCTCTCTAAGGAACAATACAGAAGTGTGAAGTTCGTTTCCTACCGGTTAATGTTGCTCGGAGTTGTCTTTCATTGTTCTTTCTCTAAATCGTAAAAGTTCCTGGATCCCCGTGCGCACTTTGGAGGCGCATCCACACCTCTCCTCCACCAATACCTCACGGCAGAGAGAGAGAGAGAGAGAGAGAGAGAGAGAGAGAGAGAGGCTCCCACGCCCCGCGACGACCATATTTGGTGATGTGTTGAAATCACCTCCAGGCCTCGGTAAGGTCATCGCAATTCCTCTTCTCAAGAGGTTTAAATTGCGTCAGTGAGGAACAAAAAAATGCGTCTGTGTCATATCTCCTCCACTCTGGGAAACTGGCTGCAAATAGGAATCATGCTGTACTTATTCATGGGTTAGACACGCAGATTTTAAGAAGGGACATTTCTTTAAAGTATATTTCTAAGATGATTTTCCCCACTCAACATGCAAGGAGTTTGCAGAAAACAGCAGTTTGCATACAGGGGCGTGTCCACACCTTTTTGTACTGAGGTGGCCCAACTGGGGCTCTGGCTTGTGCAGGGGTGGCCTGAAGTTTGTGTGCACGCACATGAATGAAGAGCATTTATTATCCCATTCTGTCTGACTTTTAAGTAAACACAAGAGAATGGTAACGTAGCCTATACATCTTCAAGACTCAAAACAACATGTCAGTCCAAAGTCACAATCCAAAACAAACATCTGCACACTGAGCTGCCTGTTGCAACAAAGCCTGAAGTCCCAGCTCTGGCAAGGCAAATAGCCGATAATAGTCAAGAATTCCCTCACCCCCTCTGGACATGCTGCTGCATGCAAATATTGAATTACAAATGATATGCAGCTGTTATAGCATTCATATAGTGAGTAGCCTAGCTATAACTTTGATGATATGCTTGAGGTAACATTACATTGTGTTTGAAAATGACTGGCTTTTTTGTTGAAATAATAGTCAAGAGAAAATATTTTGGAGACCTAGGCCTCTAAACTCATATTTATACATTTTTTTTAGCTCAAAGTCATTTGATCTTTCATTAAAAAAAAGGCGTCACAATAAAAAGTACACTATTTCTCTATAAGGCTTTATATGCGTCATGAGGCACTAAAAATATCAAAACTAAGAATGTGAATATATACAACCAGGATTTAACTAAGCATTACTAGTCTTAAATAGGAAGATTAAATATGGAAGATTGAATGTAAATGTGCAAAAACAGAGTCGTAAATGGACAGTATTGACATAAGTTAAAGTGCAGGAGTGTAGACATATAATAAGCAGAAACTATACAATATAACGGCGAGTAGACAGATAAATGAAGTGAACATGAGTGCAGGGATAATTTGTAAATTTAACATGTGCAGAACAGATTACAGTATGGAGAGACAGATATTATCATGATGACAGTTCTCTGCTCGCAAGAGACTGCAGTACCACAGTCCTTCCCCACGAGGGCGTTATTGCGTTTATTGGAAACATGGTGCTTGATCAGCAGCAGGTTTATCCATCATTACACTTTGGTCACTTTATTTATCTAATTCTTACCTTACAGTTATATTGCATATATTAGTTCTGTTGTTCCATTATTCACCATGCACCTTAATAACTTATCATTTAGTATTTAGCCTACTTGCACATAGCTCTATATATATTTATTTATTTCTCGTTTACTGCACATAGTTCTGTATACATATATTTATTTCTCGTTTACTGCACATAGTTCTGTATATATATATTTATTTCTTGTTTACTGCACATAGCTCTGTATATATATCTATATAGTTATTTCTCATTTACTGCACATAGTTCTGTTTACATCTGGTCACTACTGCACATAGCTCTGTATATCTATATATATATTTATTTCTCGTTTACTGCACACAGTTCTGTTTACATCTGTTTACATCTGTTAGTCCGATCACTGTCCACTTATATCTACTCTTTTATATTTTGTATTTTTAAGTTAAGTTTAAGCTTTAAGTTGTATTTAAATTGACACTTTATATTGAGTTGAATTGAAGTTGAATTGAATTGAAGTGAATTGAAGTGAATTGAATTGAATTGAATTGAATTGAATTGAATTGAATTGAAGTGAATTGAATTGAATTGAAGTGAAGTGAATTGAATTGAATTGAATTGAATTGAAGTGAAGTGAATTGAAGTGAATTGAATTGAAGTGAATTGAAGTGAATTGAAGTGAATTGAATTGAATTGAATTGAATTGAATTGAAGTGAATTGAATTGAAGTGAATTGAATTGAATTGAAGTGAATTGAAGTGAATTGAAGTGAATTGAAGTGAATTGAATTGAATTAAAGTGAATTGAATTGAATTGAATTAAAGTGAAGTGAATTGAATTGAAGTGAATTGAAGTGAATTGAATTGAATTGAAGTGAAGTGAATTGAATTGAATTGAAGTGAATTGAAGTGAAGTGAAGTGAATTGAAGTGAAGTGAATTGAATTGAATTGAATTGAATTGAAGTGAATTGAATTGAAGTGAATTGAATTGAATTGAAGTGAATTGAATTGAAGTGAATTGAATTGAAGTGAAGTGAATTGAATTGAATTGAAGTGAATTGAAGTGAATTGAAGTGAATTGAAGTGAATTGAATTGAATTGAAGTGAAGTGAAGTGAATTGAAGTGAATTGAAGTGAATTGAATTGAAGTGAAGTGAATTGAATTGAAGTGAATTGAATTGAAGTGAATTGAAGTGAAGTGAATTGAATTGAATTGAAGTGAAGTGAAGTGAAGTGAATTGAATTGAAGTGAATTGAAGTGAAGTGAATTGAATTGAAGTGAAGTGAATTGAATTGAAGTGAATTGAAGTGAATTGAATTGAAGTGAAGTGAAGTGAATTGAATTGAAGTGAATTGAAGTGAAGTGAATTGAATTGAAGTGAATTGAATTGAAGTGAATTGAAGTGAATTGAATTGAATTGAAGTGAATTGAAGTGAATTGAATTGAATTGAAGTGAATTGAAGTGAATTGAAGTGAATTGAAGTGAATTGAATTGAATTGAAGTGAATTGAAGTGAATTGAAGTGAATTGAATTGAAGTGAAGTGAAGTGAATTGAATTGAATTGAAGTGAAGTGAATTGAAGTGAATTGAATTGAAGTGAATTGAAGTGAATTGAATTGAAGGTTAATGACCGTAAACTGCATCGGGGACTGCAGTGTGGGGGAGGGGGAGGGGGAGGGGGGGGTGTCCAAGCAGTACCGCGGTCCACCCCACACGAGGGCGCTGTTTTCGTGCCCTTGTTGATTTGGAACATGGTGGTGGATCAGCAGCCAGTCAAGACATCCAGGATAACAACACAATCAGAGATCACTATTTCAACAACTGGGGGGAATCAAACAGGACAACAAAAGCATGCAACCCGTTCGGATTAACCTTCAAGTACTCTGACGAACCAGGAGTGAGAAGAAGGACTGCAGGATTTAAAAACTGTGGCTTGTTTCTTTTTGGGGGGGGAGAGAGAGAAGTGCCTAAAGGTGGAGCTGCTCTGGTAACGTCTTGACTTGTTTAGCCAGTTGGCGAACATTCATGTTTTTAGTGTTTTGAATTTGCACGAAAACTGGACTCTGAGACCAAACGAGCCGTGCTTCCCCTTACACCGAACACTTGAATATCCATTTATTTGCATTTAAAGTCATGCTGGCTTTTTATCTCGCATTCATAGCGAGTTAGCAACCCCTCCAAAAGGACCGACTCGTTGTCGCAGCGGAAAGCCGAACCCACGGCGCATTCGATCGGCCTCCGCACCAAAACAATGCCGCGGGTTGAAAATGGGCCTTCCGTAGAGCTAACACCAGGAAGCTAACACTAGCTCGACACAGCAGCAGGCCCTCTTTTAGATAAGCATTATCACTCTTAAATCAGCGTATTAAATCAAAATCGAAGTGCAAACCCCCTCATTTAACACACATAAACTGTAATTTCATATTTTAAAGCCCTGCAGCCGGGTCAGCAGACGCCGGGTAATCTGCTAATTAGCCACCTAGCTCGTTAGCCTTGTTGCTCCTGTTGTTTACAGTAAATTAAAAAACATAATCTGCAATTTACTGCTTTTTTTTGGCAGTTTTTGGAGTAGTTTGGCTACTGGCGTCGTCCTGTAATAGATCCCATATATAAGGTACGTTATTTTGTTTAATATTCAGTGTTTTTGTGTTTGCTTGACACAGAACAATACAGGTGAATATCTCTACTTTCATGCAGGATTCTTACACAATGCATGCAACAATATGAGAAAGAAAACTGGCCAAATAAAGCAGCTGCAAGCTTCCTATTAAGATTATTTATAGTTTGCACACAAATGTAAACAAATCTGACTTGAGTGTGTTTAATTGCAGGCTGTCACTTAAGTTGTAATTATAATGCCATGCTGTTATCTTTAGTGTCACTTTGAGTTAATAATCCAGGACATAGCTTTACACAGACATTATGCATGAGAGCATGTGACCTTTTGACCTGCTGAGACATATCAGCCATTCATTTATGATTGATGACCTTTGTGCAGTTTCCATTTTTCCACTATCATCACTACGTCAAGTCGTAAAATCACAGCCTTGGTGGTTTGTGTTTAACCACTCATGTAACCTGCTGGAAAAGGGACACCGAAGTGGGTTTTTTTAGCAGCACTTTATTTTAAACGGGAACATGAGGAGCGATCCGTCTGAACCCGCATCCAAGTAGCTTGAAGATCCGATCTTGAGCACAACAGGGAATCCTCCTCCTCCTCCTCCTCCTCCTCCCCACCCACCTCATTGTGTGCACTCAAAAAAAGAAAACACACGCTGTGGAGGAATGACATGAAGGTGATGATGACAGCGATGGGGATGATGACGATGATAAAAGAGGACCAGTGACAGTGTTGATCCCGCACCAGGAAGCAGAGGTCGCAGACATGAGTCTCCGCCAGCCCACCTCTACGCTGGACAGGTAGGCGCCCCCCCCCCCCCCCCACATCCACCCACTACACCCGGAACCACTTTCCCAGCACCTTCCTCAAAAAAATGTAGTTGTCCCAGATCAGCTTATCAACCAGCCACTTGACAGACTTGTTGGACCAGCTGTTTACAGAAGAACAAGACAAAACACACAATGAGTAAAAAAACCCCACAATATTAGCAAATTTAAACACAATATAATATTAAATACAAAGTAAATAAGCACTAAAAATATCAAAACTAAGAATGTGAATATATACAACCAGGATTTAACTTAGCATTACTAGTCTTAAATATGGAAGATTGAATGTAAATGTGCAAAAACAGAGTCGTAAATGGTTGAAGCCTGAGACATGGACATTAAAAAAACCAACTTTATTTGGGGAGGGGAATGTCCTTCAAATAAGCCGTGTATTTCTTATCCATATGTTTCTTCTTATGTCATCAGGCAACAATAAAAAAAAACACTCCATGAATTCCACAGGACAGTCATCATATTATCCTTCATGTCCTCCCCAAAATGCTGACGGGCTGATGCTTGACTCATGAAATCTGTGTTTCGTTTCAACTTAGCCACTGGCTGGGAATAAACAAAGACATCCAACAGCAGAGACACGGGTCCAAGTGGTCTCCCGCCCCCGATGCCAACTTTTCAGTGCGTCTTGTGAAAAGCCAGGGGTTAGCGAAAGGGCTTTGGCTTCTACTTCCTATTCCATGTGGTGGTCATTGTTTACACTCATGACCGGCTATATGAGAAGCGAGAACGGAGTTGGATTTGTGAGAGCGGATGTTGTGCAGATGTTTTATAGATCAATTAATCATTATATTCATGTGAGATGGGATCAAGGATTGCATTATGGCAAAAACGCTAGAGGGTTCTGTATTCATATTCAGACGTTGCTAATAGATGTTAAACATCCCTTGACACAAAATGAGGGGAAAACACCGCCGAGCTTCGCCGCTCTCCGCGTGCAATTCACTGCTGAAACCCCCCTGCGAGCGAATGTCTGTCAACTCCTCCAGCACAAACAGACCAAACCAGCCGACCAGCTCGGTTGTTGCAAAAACATTTCACGAGGGATCTTAATTTGATCAACGGCGAGAACGTTTTGGAACAATGCCTCTGAATAAAGACATTAAAACCACGAATTATAGGAGCCGCACATACCCGAGTGTGATCATAACCGTATGTTTCATGATCTATTTCAGTAGAGGAAGAGCCTGAAAACAGTGCAGCCGTTCCTTTTTTATCAATCGCAAATCAGATAAGGGATTAAGTATTTCTGATTCAAATCCACCTCCAGTTAAATCCAGTTAATCATAAAAACTCGTTCAAAGTGCGTTCCACTGTGTCCTGTCATGACTCTTCACCTGCTGTGTTTACCTCTCCCTCTGATGTTCAGTAGTCCATCCTGTGGGTGCATCTGTCACTCTTCCATCACCACATACTGTAGCCCTGTAGTCTGTGGCCGTCTCTTCGATGCATCTTTGTCCTCATCATGTGTCTTTCCTGTTTCTCCTGCTGTCAGCTTTGTCTGTCCGTCTTGTGTTCTTTCTTGCACACACGTACCTACCACTGTGTCTGTGTGTGTGTGTGTGTGTGTGTGTGTGTTTGTGCGCGTGTGTGTGTGTCATGTGACAGCAGGGCGGCCGATAAGAAAAACGCCAACTTGTTCAGGTAGGGACGGCTGTGCAGTGAGAGTTTACGTCAGGGTTTCGGGGTTAATGACACCTACAGGTTTTACAACTGCAGCTGTACAGTCCTGCTTTGTTGTTGAGCTGTGCAGGTTGAGATAGGAAGTGACCTGATTCAAAATAATCATCCATATAAGTCTAATCAGAACATTTAAAAATGGCTCTAATAAAGAAACTGAAAGGGCATCATGATTCTTATCAGGGAAACGGCTGCACAAGTAACCAACATTTTATTTATATCACCGTTTAATCTAAAAATAACACGATTTAGCAGAATGCAACTTTGAACCTAACTTTAAAAAAAAAAAAATAATTAATTACGCAGCTTTTTATTATCTTCATTCAGGGAAGATGATGTTGCATATTTCGCCTGGAAATAATGCGTCAGTACATGGAAGCCAGCTTAGTTATAAGAATATATGAAGATAGTACGAGTAATACAAGTAAAAGTAGATTTATTCAAATCTTGCTTTTTTCTGTTTGCTTCATGATGATTGGAGTTGTTGTTGTCAGACGAGATCGGTAGAAAAATATTCAAAATAAATGTAATTTAGATTTAACATCAATTTAGTTTCAAATCCCAAATCTGCATTTTATTTAGTAAAAGGTTTATTATTCACAACACCTGTAACGGTACATTTGACTGCGTACAGATTGAGTTTAGCTGGACGTTCAGATTTGAATACAATTCCATCTTCGATCAAATCACATGTATACGTAAAGAAAAATGCATTTTCTTATTCTTCTGTTTCAGACAGTTGTAACTTCATTGTGTTCAATGTGCATGTTCTCATCATGTTTACGATGACATCTTTCACTCGGCACTCGTGGACAACGTGCAAAATGTTGAATCTATATTTCCTCCAAGGAAAGGTCTTATGTCATTCGAGCTCACTTGAATTCAACTGTCTAAAAATTGGTAACTGTCAAATTGTTTGAGCCAATTCCCATGGGTCATAGGGTTAGAGGGTTTTAGGGTCATAGGGTTAGAGGGTTTTAGGGTCATAGGGTTAGAGGGTTAGAGGGTTATAGGGTTAGAGGGTTATAGGGTTATAGGGTTAGAGGGTTAGAGGGTTATAGGGTTAGAGGGTTATAGGGTTAGAGGGTTATAGGGTTAGAGGGTCATAGGGTTATAGGGTTAGAGGGTTATAGGGTTAGAGGGTTATAGGGTTATAGGGTTAGAGGGTCATAGGGTTAGAGGGTTAGAGGGTTAGAGGGTTATAGGGTTAGAGGGTTATAGGGTTAGAGGGTTATAGGGTTATAGGGTTATAGGGTTTTAGGGTTATAGGGTTTTAGGGTTATAGGGTTAGAGGGTCATAGGGTTAGAGGGTTAGAGGGTTAGAGGGTTATAGGGTTAGAGGGTTAGAGGGTTAGAGGGTTAGAGGGTTATAGGGTTAGAGGGTTAGAGGGTTAGAGGGTTATAGGGTTAGAGGGTTATAGGGTTATAGGGTTTTAGGGTTATAGGGTTTTAGGGTTATAGGGTTAGAGGGTCATAGGGTCAGAGGGTCAGAGGGTCAGAGGGTTATAGGGTTAGAGGGTTAGAGGGTTTTAGGGTTAGAGGGTCAGAGGGTCAGAGGGTCAGAGGGTTAGAGGGTTTTAGGGTTAGAGGGTTAGAGGGTTAGAGGGTTATAGGGTTAGAGGGTTAGAGGGTTAGAGGGTTTTAGGGTTAGAGGGTTAGAGGGTTAGAGGGTTAGAGGGTTAGAGGTTTAGGTTAGAGGGTTAGAGGGTTAGAGGGTTAGAGGGTTTTAGGGTTAGAGGGTTAGAGGGTTTTAGGGTTAGAGGGTTAGAGGGTTAGAGGGTTAGAGGGTTAGAGGGTTAGAGGGTTTTAGGGTTAGAGGGTTAGAGGGTTATAGGGTTAGAGGGTTAGAGGGTTAGAGGGTTAGAGGGTTAGGGTAGCTAAAGAAAAAACTCAGAATGTTGCTCGTCCGCCATCTTGCTTTTACAGTTCAACAAAAGCCTTTATTGGCCAGAATAACAGGAGTCCACTGAGACACACATTTGAACTTAGAAACAACAATTATCAATAAGAACTACTATAAAAATAACTAAAAAACTTACATTGAATAAACTTAATTACATCAGAGATAGAATTAGCCGATTGTCACATGATGTGCTAATATCGGCCGATATTATCGACTGGCCGATTTATCAGTCGGGCTCTAGTTAATAGTTTGTCTTAGATTCCAAGAATCTAAAGTGAAGCCTTCTTGTGTTTTTCTCCAACCAATTATTAGTCCATAATTTTACCCTTAAATTTCTGTGTTTCTGTTTCACAGTGAAAGAAGCTAAAAATGTAGAAATCTTAGTCCACCATCAAAATGTTCCATGTGGTGTTTGAACAAGTTTCACCCCCCAGTGAACCCCCCGAGAATCACTCCAAATCAGTGCCGTGTTTACCCTGTGTGTCCTTTCATCACACTCACACACCCTTAGATAAATATGTTCATGGAAGGCGGTGCTGCTCTCCGTGTTTACATTCTGTTAGAGTATAAAGGGCGTGGGGGGGATGATTTGAACTCTCTCTTATTCTTTGTGTCTTTGTGTTTTTATTTTTACTTAAAGTCCGGTCTTCACTGTGAATATCTTCTCTCTTTTCTCTGTTCCCTCTTTTCCCCTTGTTATCTGCTGTTTCCTTCTCTTCTGTCATGCTTCGCTTTCAGCCCTTTTGCTGCTTGGTGAGTTTTCCTCTCCACTGCTTCCCTGTTGCTTTTTGTGCATTTTCCCCCCCCTGCATCAGATTTGTGACCCTGCACCTCCCTCTTCTTCTGAACTTCCCAACAACTTTTTCCCCTTACCTCTCCATCAATGGTGTTCCCTCTCTTCATTTATTCCCCTTTTCATTACCCCCGTTGTGTGCTTATTAAATTACCTTGATCAGTATTGTTTATTGCTAGAGCTCTATTTCTCCCATCTCTAAACCCAGGCTCAGCAGTCTGACCATCGGGGACTCGGAGCGCAAATCCTCTGCCACCCAGCAGAGGGAGCCATTGGTTGACTACCCTGTTGATAGTACGGGTAATTCCGACTTCCTTTTCTCGTTTTATTTTTTTTTAAATTTCAGGACCAATTACACCACATCACACACATTTCTACCCTCGCGTCGTCCTCTCCCAGGTCCTGGTCTTGTGCAGAGATGCGTGGTGGTGCAGAAGGACCAGCTCGGCTTCGGCTTCACAGTGTGTGGAGAGAGAGTGAAGCTTGTGCAGAATGTCCGATCAGGTGAGACACGTGCACAGCGGAAGTGAGGATTCGATCCTCAAAACGTATTTTGTTTTTCTAAGTACAGATGACCCTTAAAAAACAAGGCGGGGAGCAGCAGAGATAATCACTCCCATGATTCCCCTGCAGTCTGAATGTCATATTTGTTATTGTTGTGATTGAGAGCCCCCTGGTGGTAGAATTTACACACCGTTCCTTTAAAGGAGCTTATTTGTCGATCTTTTTTTTTTGAAGATGAAATCAGACCTAAAGGACATAAAAAAGCGATGAATCAGTATTTTTCACAACTTCAGTGCACGCTTATCATCTTTACAGGTGGTGCAGCAGTCAAGGCGGGGGTCCAAGAAGGAGACCGGATCATAAAGGTTTTTAAGTTTTCCATCACTGACTCTGAATCTGTTTTTTTTTTTTTTTACATTTTATGTACATGTTGCTGATTTTTCCATCTGTTGTTCTGTCAGGTGAACGGTCAGCTGGTATCCTCCATGTCCCATCAGGAGGTGGTGAAGCTCATCAAATGTAAGTTTTTAATATTTTTTTTTGTGTGTGTTTTCTCAGTTTAGTGTGTTCTAGTGAAGATTATCTGACTCATTCTTGAATCGTCCACGTAGCTGGAACCTACGTAGCCCTGACACTTCAAGGACCGCCCCCTTCGTCTGCCTCCTTGCCCCTCGAGCCCCTCTCCACTGACCTCACATCCAATCAAAGAACGTCTCTAGGCGGGGAAGCTCCGCCCCCTCCGCCTCCACCTTTGCCCTCTGGACTGAGCAGCACGCCTTCCCAAAGAATCACAGGACCCAAACCACTACAGGTGAATGAAACTACAGCGTCAGGATGGGCTAAAGGAGTAGCACCATCTTTTTTCTCAGTTCTGAGTGAAATGAATGGTGAACCTTATGAAGATGGTTGTGTTTGTGAACGTGTTCTTTTTAGGACCCAGAAGTACAGAAACATGCCACTCAGATACTCAGGAAAATGCTGGAGCAGGAAGAGGCTGAACTTCAGGTACACACACATACACACAAATACTCGCTTGGCACTAGAGCATCAGTTCTGATCCATGGCTGCATCCTCACCAAAACTGACCAATTTTCAGGACCTGCTGGAGGAGCAGTCGAGGAACCCGTCGCCGTCTCTGGAGGAGCGGATTGAAAGTGCCAAAAGGAGAGCCAACCAAGTCAGGGTTAAGATTCAGCAAGATCTGGTGAGGATGATGCTCACGTCCCTGTGACGTTTTCGTCTTCAAATCTAAAAGTCGTGGAGGTGCAATGGCTTGAAAAGATCATTCTGTAATCTGAGTTCATCTTCAAAACTTTCACCCTTATTCTGTTTCAAACATCTCCCTGACTGGATCGTAGCACTGTGGTTCAGATTACAGTGAATGCATTTAAAAAAAAAAATAATAACAACATCCATGATTTTGCCTTCAAACTGTTGTTGACCGATCCTTTCATTTGCTTCTTCAGGAGGGAACGCGATCAGAATGTACAACCAGCTACGTCATAGCAGGAGAAGGTTTGTGTGTCCTTCATTTGTCTCGTTAAAAGTGTCAGAGCTGCACATCCAAGGTAATACACCAAATACAAAGAAGTGGGTCAAATAAAAGCAGATTGCATCACTAGTAAGGCCACCTTGAAGACACACCAGCAGTCTAACAATGCTTCTCGGTATTGCTGGTTTAACACTGCGCTGTTCTCCTGCAGGTCGACTATCAATGGACTCGAGTGAAGGAGACGTGGAGGTAAGCTGCGTTTCTCTTTCCCATGAAACCGTTTCGATTTGTACGTGTGCGTTTGTGTATGTGATGTTCCCACTCATCCAGCCTCCCCCTCGTCCTCCCTCCTCCCTCCTCCCTCCTCCCTCCTCCTCCTCCTCCTCCCCAGGGCTTTGAGAGTCCCCACTCCTCCCCCTCATCCTCCTTCCGGATCCCCCAACACAGGCGGCAGAACTCCGACACACACACCCTGTCTGACCTGGTGAGATTGGACACACAAACTTGCACTCACTTTCAGACCGTTAGCCCCCTGGACATATAAGATCCTCGCGCGCAATCCAGAGGACATGTAGAACCGCCGAATCACTCCCCCTTGTGTTGTGCTCATTCCTGCTGTGTTGACACCTGATTTTAGAGAAAGCAAAGCAACAAAGCATCCTGTACATTTGTGTTTTTTTTTATCACGGAGCGTGCCACTGTGAGATATTTCTCTGACAACATAACTGTCTTTAATTACTGAGGTCAAGAGAGCATGAAATGGTCGAGGTACGCTGAGAGCGCCCTCTGCTGGATCAACTTGTAAACTACTTCAGACGGCCTGGTGCGCCGATCGACTGTCCATTTTGAATATGAACGTCTCATTCCAGTTCCAATGTGAACTTTGTGTCCCTCCCCCCGGGGTTTGAATTAAAGTTTCAACACAGACATTTAAGTGCAAAAACAAGGAGGGTCCAGATGAATGACAACATGTAAACATAACGGATTTGTTTCCCCTGCTGTCATGGTGTCAAAAGTTTGCAGTATTGAGCTTATTGTGACAGCTTTATGCAATCGCCATCACGTGCATGTAAATTCATGTTTTATGAATGTACTCTCTTGAAGCCTGTGCATGTGTGTTTCTCTCTTCACAGGGTGGAAAGGCTCAGATCATCGGCCCAGAGGAAGAGGATGAAGAAGACGACGGCTATGCATTTAATGAGGTCAGAAGGACATCTTTTTTTTTTTTTTTTTTCAATACTTTTCACCTTTTCCTCCTCTGGGTCTTGCTGTTCCCTCCACCCAGCTCATTCATCATATTTGTCCTCCTCCTCCTCCTCCTCCTCCTCCTCAGATGGACGGTCCGTTTCAGGACATCGAGCTGCTCAAGTCACGACCTGCACACATGACTGTGTTCATGAGATACATCTTCACGCAGCTTCTGGACCCCAACCCTCTGGTGAGTCCACGTCCACGTCCAAAGTCTGCTCGTCTCCTTTTCTCTGTGTATGCCGTGTGTGAGTGATGATTCAGCATTATTTCAATCACATCTGGAGTAAATAGAAATAACCAACCTGATCTCCAACTCTGTTTTGTTGTAGTGTTTAGACTCTTAATCCAACAAAAAAAACACTGATTTTCAACATTTGCCATGTGTTTTTATGTCTTGATTTTTGTTGCTTCAATCACGGTGACGTGCGTCTGTGACAGCTGTTTTACCTGTCGGTGGAGGCCTACCTGGGCTCCAGTCCTAAAGACGCACGCACACTCGCACCTCAGATCTGCTCCCACTTCCTGGACCCCGATGCTGTATGTGCCAACCAATGATTTCTTACTAATATTCATCTAATTGTCAAAAAAAAGAACAATTTTATTTTGAAGGAAAATAACTTCAATCAAGAAATGTCTTAGATGTAGGTTAACTAATAATTCAAGCATAGAACCATTTTAACAATGGAGAAATGGAAATGTTAATGAGCTCTGCTGTTTTTTTAACCACAACATTGTTGTACCTTTTTCTGAAACTGCAACTGTCCCCTCGCAGCCCCTGAAAATCAAAGTGCGAGAGGAGTATCTCACAGATATCGGTAAGGAATGAGTTTCTTTCATTATTAAGAAATGTATACGCCTCCTTTTTAATGACATGTAAGGTCTTCTTCTCCTTCTTCTTCCTTGAAAGACTGAAAGAAACAACTCGATGATCATGTCTTCTTTTGTGCCACCAGAGAGTCGACTTCACGCTCAGGAGGACATCAGAGGACCTCTGTCCGAGCTGCAGCAGCAAGTACTGCCTGACATCCAGGACCAGATCCAGGACTACAGGTGCATGACTTAGTTGTTTTTTTTTCTTTTGTTGGTCGTCCTCGGGATGTGCACGATCAGCTGACTACACGATTCGACGTCGTGATCTGCGCTAGTTGGCACAAGAGTTACCAGTCGGATAAACTAACGATTAATATTTGATTCATTCAGAACTGCTTTGCCGGTGTTGTGCTGAGAGTTGCATGCCTGCCTAATTTTGCATCCTCCTTTAAAGTTCCTCTACAGATATTTTAGGGTCAAACTCTGTCATCAGCTCAAATTCTTTAAAGCAAGCTAAAGAAAATGCATCTTCTGTGGAGTCTATAGAACAATAAGGACACTTTACCTTTATCAAGTATAAACTTCAGATGCTTTGATCTTCCCCTAGACATGAGGAGATTTATACCATTTTGCGATTCTCCATAGGTGTGCATTTCTCTGCTCGACTACCTGAATGTAATCCAGCACAGGGGACAGATGTCATCTAGCAGCATGGAGCGGTTTGGCAGTATTTGTAAAGTTGTCTGTAGGCTCTGTCAGGTTATACTAGTATGTAACCTCTCGACTGGAGCGATGCTTACCCAGTTAAAGCATGTGGATGTTAACCGGCAAGGAAGCCTGAATGCTGGGGGTGCTAGCAATGCTAACGCTATCTACACACTGCAAACCAATTTTGACACTGTTTACATGCAGTTGCAGAGTTGAGCTGTGTTAAATAGAGTTCTATTTTCACTGCTTTCTTCACGTTTTCTCAACTTAAGAAAAGTCGACTCGTCTGAGTTGTATTTCCATTTAATCACCTTTTTAAATGGGTCACCTAGGAGCATCCCCGGTGTGTACCATTAAAACCTTTGAACCATTAAAACTTGCAGTTAATTCAGTGGAGTTCGGGCTTTGTGTCCACTTTCGGGTGTCACATCTTAAAAAAGTGAAGTGCATAAAGCTCAAATGCGAGCGCGTGTGAACTTGTTCAACGTTTGTGTCACAGGAACAAACAGATGATGGGCCTCGGCTCTCTGTTTGGAGAGGGAGACCTGCAGCACCTGGACGGGGACCCGTTGAAAGAGAGGCAGGTGGTGGACAGACAGGTCACCGCCCTCTGGGAAATACTGTGAGTCTGCAACTTTAATCAAACACTACTTCTGAGGCCTCGAGACATTTATATCGATCCTGCAACAGCGTTTTACTGGTGTCCCGGTCTGTGAATTCACATTGCCTTAGCTCGTGTGTGAACAACCAGCTCAGTGAGAAATCAGAGGCACTCCACCTTTTAAGTTTCTGGAGAGTTTCAGCAGTGTATATGTGAAAACGATTTTTTTCCTGTTGCAATAAACCTGTGCTATTTGAAGTTTATAATGAGGGTGCAGGTTGACTTCCTTGAGGAGAAGAGTCCTCTTTATGGAAATGATCTGAAACTAGTGCAGACTGTTTTATGAGTGTATTCTTTAACACACTTGCACAGTTAAACAAGGTTTCCCTGGCAACATGGTCGGCTGTTCAGAGCCCAATAAAAAAAAGTTATTACAAAGCGACAGAAGGAGCTCAGACGAGCTATCATAACAAAGGTCATTCGCGTCGCCGCAAACCCTGGAAACCACATGACATTTACTCCTTTGACTCTACACACACACACACACACACACACACACACGCACGCAGGCCCAGTGCTGTCACACGACCGCTGCACCGCCGTCTGCTACACTCTCGGTCCTGCATCTGACGGATCTGGATTTAACTTTGAGGAATGAAGCTGGATATCTCTTTAAAAGCCTGATGGTTGTTGTGAAAGGAGCTAACGGCGTTTTTTATGTCTCTGTTTCTGTTGCCGCTCCAGATCAAAGCACGAAGAGGACAGGAGGTAAGTGTTTGAAAAGTGATTTATCAGAATCACCTGGCGTAGAGATTCCCCTTTTGTTTGTTCTCGACACCTTTTTGCTTAGTTTGACTCCTCCCTCCTTGTCTCCTCATGTGTCCCTCCACCATGTTTGTCCTCTCTCTCTCTCTCGCTCCTTACCTCTACGCCCTCACTCCTCTTCCTCAGTTCTCCTCTGGCGTCGGCCGTGCTCCTCTACCTGCGGCACTCGGGCATCAAGCTGAGAGACTCCAAGGTGTTCCCCGGTCTGAGCACGGAGAAGGAGAAATGGCTCGCTTTCTTAAAGACCAAAAAGGTGAGAGTAGTGTCCAAATGGAAGAGAGGGAGGTTGTCAACATGTTTGATGATTTGATGCGTGTTTTAAAACGATACAATCTGTTAATTTAATGATCGATATTATTGAACTTTTTAACCAAAAAAAAGAGAGCGTGCTGTCTTAAGTTACACAAAATACTTGCCGATGTATTTGTGCAGGTTAGAGAGATGCTGATGTTTTAACTACTGCTTCATTGCAACTCGCAGCATCTCTCCCTAATTGAGACATAACTCCTACGCCCCTGAGATTGTGTCATTCCTGCAGACAAACTCCTGCACACTGTCTAAACTAAAGTGTGAAACTTGTGCAGCCTGATTGAATGGTTCCTCTCTCCGCAGCTGAGTGGTATCAAGAAGGATAAAGATGGAGAGGACAAAAAGAGAAACCCTATCCTGAAGTACATCGGCAAACCCAGGACCACATCCCAGTCGAGTAAATACACACACACACACACACACACACACACACACACACACACACACACACTATAACTCAGACTCATGCATTGAACTGATGCAGAAAATGAACTGTACATTCTGACATCTGACTCCTTCATTTGTTATTATCACCGGGCATCAAGTGTTCAAACATCCAACAAACACATGAAACAATGAGTTTTTGACATCAAAGCTGTTCCAATGAGGACCGTTTCAGTGTCTCTCACTCTCTGAATGTGTCACACTTGATTGTGTTCGTTCCCTCTGCTCATCCTTTTCTTGTTTGTTTATTGATTTTGAGAACTTTCGTTGAGTTTTGTTCTGATTTTGTTGTTTCTTTCTTTCTTTTTTTTTTTTTGTTTCATTTTGTAGCATTCCATGTCCCCTTGTCTCCCACCGAAGGTACACGTTTGTTCACTTTCACTTTCACTTTAAGAGAGCTTCCTCCTCATGTTATACTCACTGACCCTTTTCTCCTGACAGTCTCATGTGCATCCTTTCATATCATACGGTACTATTAAGTGATAATCTTGTGTGTGCAGTCCGTCCGGGCAGCGTGAGGAATATCATCCAGCAGTTTGAGAACAACACGGAGACGGGCGAGGAGGGAGGGGACGCCGCCGCCGACCCCCAGAGGCTCTCCACCAGCAGCCTGGGAGAAGACAGCATGGACAGGTAGCAGATCCAGATGCAATCATGAAACCATGATGACGATAAACTTTGGACATTATAACCCTTTCAAATATTTTGATCAATATGGAGAATTGCATCTGGATGCTGTTCGTCATTGAGCGTGTTTCCTTCACCTCTCTCCCCCCGCAGCCCCACCATCTCCGTGCGCCTGGCTCGTAGCGAGTCGCTGAAGGCTCAAGGAGAAGGCCGCCGGCGAGGCGTCACCTCGGGCACCGAGTCGGTCCCTCGCTCCCGGAGCGACGTGGACATGGAGGACTGCGGGGAGGAGAGGGAGGGGCCCGGGCTCCGGCCGCTGCAGCACAGCACGTCGTCGTCTGCATCCAGCAGCTCTGCACGGTACAGACTACGCTCTCGCCTCAGGGTGCTTTCACTCACAGATTTCATCGACTTTTCGGAGAGCGGAATGGTCTCAAATATCTTAAGGACGAGTTGTAAATAAATTAAAAAAAACACTCTGTGTCTTTTTAAAGAAGGGTGATTTATAATGAGCTTCTAGGAATCTAAACGCTCCCCTTTAATGACAGCTTGACACTCTCTCTCACACTCAGGTCTCTAGAGAACCCTACACCCCCATACACCCCTCGGTCGAGACGCAGGTGAGCTTCCACGTCCTCCCCAGAGATCAGATTGGTGTAAATAAAGATGGCTGTCCTCTTTTGTGCAAAATTCTTCAAGCTAAAGTGATGTGGATCAGCCTTGTTCAACATCAAACCTCTGAGTGATATAATGCTAGTTAAGGAGATCTCTAGTTTAGTTATCTCCATCCATACCCATATTTTTGTTTTTCACACACACACACACACACACACACACACACCTGTGTTCATGTGTGTTAACGTCCATGTGCGTGACTCTGCAGGAGTGTAGACTCCCCGTTGGCACTGCTGCCGGACGCCGTGGCGTTAGAGGAGGAGGCATGCGACAGTCAGAACTGGCAGGACACGGTCCCCGCTCAGCTCCTCGCCACGCTCAGTCCGCGGGAGGTGGACCGGCAGGCCGTCATCTACGGTGAGAGTCAGAAAAAGCTGCACTGGATGCTGCAACGTGCGGGACAAACAAACACAATCTGATGAAATTCTAGGCGTCTCATTACGGTGTTCCCTCTCTTCGTCGTCAGAGCTCTTCACCACCGAGGCGTCTCACCTGCGGACCTTGAGGGTCTTGGATCAGGTCTTCTTCCAGAAGATGAGGTCCGTGCTGAACTCTGAAGAGCTCGCCTGCATCTTCCCGAACCTGCCCCAGGTCTATGAACTCCACGGTCAGTTGTGTGTCCGTGTGTGTGTGTGTGCATGTGGAAGTGTTTTTATTTGCAGATCAACAATGATACATTCTGTGAAATAGAGAAAAGCCAACACAACATGAAATGATGAATGATCAAACAAGCAATCAGGCCTAATGTTTCAGGGCGTCCAAGTTTCACACTTCACACCGGGTCTGAGTACGCTTGACCCCAATGACCGGTTCATTTGAACATTGTGAAAAAAAACTGCTCAACGGTGGTACGATGATCTCAGACACGGTTCATGTGCACTCGGAGATGCAAACGCAACGTACTCAAACAAGGAAGTGGACCGCTTTACGACGTAATTGTTAAACCGCTCCCGATGCGTCGAAAAACGCAGCAAACGCGCGCTAAAGGCCCGTTTCATCCTCTGAGCTGCACGGTAGATGTGGAAGTAGGAAGAGGGTCCTTGTTGGCATCTCAAAAACATCCACGGTTGTGGTTGCCATGGTTACTGCAAAGCAACTATGTACATACCGCCCCCCTGCTGTATCGGAGTACAATACATACACAAGTGTACTCGGGTACGGTACGATGTAACGGGTGAGAACGCAGAGCAGGGGGAGGGGGAGACACTCGTGCTGAATGTGAAAACGCCCCAAGAAAGGTTTAAGAAGCGTTACAACTTGGCTCGGTTTCTTTTCTTCCTCTGCTTGCGTTGTTCCTGTTTGCACAGTAAACTCAAGTTGTACTTTTAAGTCAACACGTATTCATGGCGCCGTGTTGCTCTGTAAATGATAATAAGCAAAGCAAATACAGAGGAGAGGTGGTACATGTCGGGCGTAATCACAGCCTGCAGCTTCACTGAGTCAATATGTGTTCTGGGCTTTAATTCAGAGCCAACATGGGAGTGTATTATAGGATGATGTAACTCTTTTTACTGTTTTTTATGAAGATTTACTGATTGTATGTCTGTTTTTTTTACTCCTTCGCAGCAAATCTGTGTGAGGCAATGAAGAAGAGAAGAGAGACACCCATCGTTCAGGCCATCGGGGACGTCATGCTGGCCAGGGTGAGTGGATTTACAACCGCCTCATTCACTTGGATTTAGCTACTTAGACTGACCTTCTTTGGGGCTGCTGATCCAATTTAGTCTTTTACCTAAGACTTTTTTTTGGGGCCAATGTACGCCTGACTTCCCCTCTGACCCCCAGAGGAGACATTGGATCTAGAAACACGGTTAAAACAGCATATATGTCTTGAACATCTGGTAATGTGAGGGGCGTTACAGACCCTATAAAGTCTATAACCTCCAAACTCTCGGGAGCCACCTTGATTATTTCCAATGTGTGTTTTTTTTTTGTTGAGGACTGAAAGTCTGAATGTTGACAGCAAAGTCGCTCCTCACCATGCTGAAGCACAATATTCCCCCCTTCACTTTCCCCCGTTGGCCTGCATTCACACTGCTCCAGGACTAACTGGGCCCGGGCCCTGTTCCCTTTTTTACATACGGTTGCGATACATCACATGAATGGCTTTACGGGATTACGGGATGGAGCAGTGTTACCTAATAACAGGAAACATTCAGGCTCATGAGGCTAATGCTAACGCCTGGCAGATGTTAAATCTTGTCTCGAGTTCATTCTTTAACATGGAGTTACTGCTTCTTCCAAAAGATGTTTCTACGTATATTAAGTCTGCTAACAGTGCTGCTTGTTTCCAGTTTGAAGGTGCAGCTGGAGACGAGTTTCAGGAACAGGCGTCCCAGCTGTGCAGCCTGCAGACTCAGGCTCTGGAGCTCATCAAGAACAAAAAACGCAAAGATCCTCGTTTTGCACACATCATCCAGGTACACACGCGTAAAGTTCCTGGCATGTTTAATTCTGAAGTAATTGTATGAAGTGAAAATCAGAGATTGTGTTGTCCTAGTAAGTGTGTTTATAGTTGCTCATCATTTTGCCGTACGTGCTGGTATGTTTGACGTTTTGTTCAGGAGTGTGAGGCGAGTCCTCACTGCCGCCGGCTGCAGCTGAAGGACCTGCTGGTGTCGGAGATGCAGAGACTCACAAAGTACCCTCTGCTGCTCGACAACATCATCAAACACACAGAGGGTGAGTGTGGCATCCACAGACGTTGACCTCTATCGCAGAAGTCCTGCCAGGAAAAAAAAGGAATGTTACATGTGTATTCTTGTTGACTCTTTCAGCCGGCTCGTCAGACCTCCCCTCTCTGCAAAGCGCCCAGGCGTGTTGCAGAGGGATACTGCAGGCGGTAAACGAGGTCGTCAGGGTAACGGAACACCGGCAACGCCTCAGCCAGTACCAACGCAGGCTGGACGCCGCCCCTCAGTTTAAGGTAGTGGAATTGGTCGTTTCTTGTGAACCTGCCTCTTCCTTCTTTACATCGTTTGTATTCAATGAAGTGTTTTCAAAATGTGTTTCACAGAGTCTCGACCTCACCACAAAGAGGATGATTCATGAAGGTCCTCTCACGTGGAAAGTCAGCAAAGACAAGCAGATAGGTGTGTTTTATCTGTACGGAACACTTCATTCTGCGACGGTGCAAAAGTTAACTTTAGAGGTACGTTCTCACACCTGTTGGTCACATGTCCCTCCCCCATCAGAGATCCAAGCGCTGCTGCTGTCAGACTGCCTGGTCCTCCTGCAGCGGGGCCCCGACGATCGGCTGCAGCTCAGGTATCCCTCCCGCTGGCTGGGTGGAGGCGGCGGGGGCGGCGGGGACAGCAAGACCTCCTTCAGCCCTCTGGTGAAGCTGGACTCGCTGCTGGTGCGCTTAGTGGCTACAGGTGAGAATGCGCTCGCGAAACGGAAAGCTCGCATCGGAGAATGTAATGCTCTCTGGCGTTCCTGCGATCCCGATCGGACGGCTAAGCGCGTTGTGATTTCTCTCCTCAGACAACAAAGCCCTTTACGTCATCAGCACCACCGAGAGGCAGATCTATGAGCTGGTGGCCGGGACGTCGTCGGAGAAAAACACGTAAGCTCTGCGTCTTTATCTCAGGAGCATCTGGGTTCTTCTTGAGCCTCGACGAGTCTTTGAATTTTTTTCTTTGTATTTTGCAGCTGGAAAGATTTACTTGAAAAGACCATCTCATCATCTGGAGGATCATCACCTCTGATCAATCACGGATCCATACGTCTCTCGTGAGTAAATCTGATATATCTATTTTTTTTTTAAAGTTTAAAAGTGTTTTAATCCATCAGATGAACTTAGTGTTTGTTGTCTCTCTGTTTTCAATAGTTCCCCCAGTCTAGGCAGTGCGTCTCCAGTGTCAACTGGGAGCAATGTCTTTGCAGGTAACGACCAAAAAAAAAAAAACAGTGATCAACTTTCAACTGTGAAGAGTTGTTCTTGGTCCAAAAAGAGACTTTTCCATTCACTTAGATTGTTTGTAATGTTGCAGATAACTCTATGACAGAGCAGTCGGATTCAATGGAGACTCATTCGTCGGGCGACGACATCGCACTCTCAGCGGCCGCTCCTTCCAACGTGTCGGAGAGAAAAACAGCTGGAGTGGCGGAGGCGGCTTTACAAGACGGTGAGTGGGAATCCAGAACGGAGTCAAACTTCTACATAATGCTGCATGTAAAGAAACGAAATAACACGGCAAATGCTGTGCAGAACAAGTGGACGTACCCAGTGGTACAGAGTATACCCACTTATATTACAGACTGATTCCATTGATTGACAATGTTCAGCATGATGCTCCATTTTCTTTCCTAAGATGGTAAAGAGATGACCTTCTCTACTCTGTCTCTGATTGGCTAGTGCATACTGACTTGATGTCACAGTTTATAACAGAGGCCGTTTTTCCAGATCGCTTAAAAAAAAAAACATTTGGGTGGGAAATTGTGAGTAAACCCACTTCTTTAGACACCACTGGACGTACCCATTGGTTTGTGAACCCCCCCCCCTTTTGAAGCCTGATTTTTGTTGGTGGCCATCTTGTTTTGAATATTAATGCAACAGTGTTTGGACTCCGGCTAGGAGAGCATTGTTGAGTCTCCATCCTGGTTGACGGGTGTTTGAGATTGAGAACATAAGAAAACTCATTCAGAAAACTCTTGCAGAGGAAATCAATCCACTGAGAAGTAGGCAGAGTTTGGTTTCATCCAAATGGATTTATGTCTCCCCCTGCTGGCCGTTACAAAGAATGCAGCTTTAAGGCACTTGTGAAACCAGAGGCTACATCTTCTTGTTGTATCAAGTCTATGTAGTTGTTATTATCTTATTGAACAATGCATTTAAAAAAAAGATAGAAATCTATATACAGCGACTTACTACCGGGATGTTTTGCAGTGGAAACACTACGGCAGCTCATCATACGAGACCTCGAAGAGGACGGCTGGAGCCACGATTCGGACGACACGCCCACCAACGAGACGGGGAACCGGAGGAGCTCCTTCAGCGAAAGACAGCGGCCCGAGTCCCTGGAGACCGTCCTCAACTTCAGCACCGGCGAATGGGAGGCTGAGCCCGAAGAGGCCCCGCCCCCGGAGGCGGAGCAATCCAGCGTTCATGTCGTGAGGAAAGGTAACGAGGACCGGGCGGAAAAGCTGTGAATTGTAAAGTCTGCGGCAGGTTTGACGGATCACTTTGAGTTCATTCAGTCACTCAGACGCGAGTCTTTAAACCTTTTATGTGAAGAGAAAACGACGATTACTCCTTAACTCGCCTTCTCCTCTTTTGAGACGAACGTTGATGCTGGTTGAACTAACAGTGAAGTCACCTGACTGATTTCTTGCTCTTTTTTTGTGGGATCATATCTGCTGTTTTTGATGGCTGTTCTTCCTCTGCATGTTCTCCTCTCACTTTTGGTGATGGATTATTTTGCTTATTTTCTCTCTTTTTGTTTTGTTTTTTTTGTATCCGCTTGCTTCTCACAACACGACGACACACTGATCCCACGCTCGCTCGCTCGCTCTCTCTCACCCGTTCACACTCTCTCTTTTTTTCCTCCGCACACACTTTCTTTGTCACTACTATCTTCTTTGCATAGCTGTGGTTGCGGGTCCTTCTTCTTCTTCTTCTGTCCCTGACGACATCACTGATGATGTCTCCGACCAATCATCCAAGCCGAGAGGCGGGGCCACGACGCAGGGTAATGAAAACTCAATTAGTGGATTGCTGTAGTTGATCATGGATTGCAGTCTTTAAAGATTTTGGATGTCAAATTTGAGTTGTTCCGATACCAATACAGGTTTCCCAAAATGCCTCTGATACTATCCTCAATCACAGACTTATACATTATAATCTGTGTACTGGTCATACAACCTTATTTATTAGAATGGGGGGGGGGGGGACACTAGCTGCTGTGCTTATTTTTTTAGGGATAGCATTCCTAAACAAACTGATCTTAGTTATTAAAATCTGAGTAAATCAACTTTGTTTGAAAATTCAAGGTGTCTCCAACGCTCATCCGCAGACACATGTTCTATGGCAATCATTTCCAAAGTCAGCCGTTAATAAATATCTTTATTTACAGATTCTAAAGAAAGGTGAAGACTCTAGTCAGGGGTCTGGATTTCACTTTGGGACTTGTTCTTGTTTGCATTTGTGTTGCAAACGTAGTCTTGAGTGTGAAGAGCAAAAGGAGGAAGAACACGGACGACATGCACACCATGTGCTTGACGCCGTGTCATGAAATCATATCAAGCATTACGATTTCCTAACTACCTTGAACACATCAGACATGAACGATCTGACCTCCGTTCTGCAAACAATTTTTTTTTTTTTTTTAAAGTAAATCAGTTTCTCTTTCGGGTTCATAAAGCGGAAGCCTCTGTGAAACTTCCTCTTCTGTCTTTTTTTTTTGTAAAGTTATGTATGGGGATTTTTTTTTTTAGATAGCGCAGCTGAAGAGAGACGGGAAATGTTACGTTCAGTAAAACTGAGACTCACTATAAACAGATGAACGGGGCGGCGCTCCTCTGCGGGGTGTAAACAACCAATAAATGACATCATTTTTCTCTGCAGACATATCGGGAGGGGCGACTTTTGCTTTGCTTTGTTTTCATCTTAACACTCAATCCGTTCTCTAGTTGCTAATTGGACTGTAACCATGGCAACGCACAGAAAAGTTAGTCACTGCTGGAAGTCTTTGACGGCTCACTGCTGGCTACACCTGCATTACTGAGAAGTAGGCCGTCATATACTGGTGTCAGATGATAGCCAATGAGTCCAAGCTTGGTGGTATAATCAACCTGCCATCATTGCAAATTCATGTTGGAATCAAAGTAGGAAGACAAAAATGGTATCGGAACATCTCTTCAATAGAATATGATATTTCAACCTGTTCCCACTGTAGTTCCTGACAGCTCACTTTTCCGTTGTCTAGGAAACACTTTCTACCTGGTCATGCCCACGGAGCAAGGTGAGAGCGTCACCGACGATGCCGAAGACCCTCCCGCCCCCGTCGCCACCCCCCACCTCCCTCGGCCGCCGGAGGGGACGCCCACCTGCGACCCGGAGCCCGACCGATCGGAGGCTATGCAATTAGAACGTGACGAAGAGGAAGACGCGGGCCAATCGCAGGCGGGGCACCCGAGCCACGTGATCAAAAATGTGGACGAGATTTTTCACACAATCGAGGGGTTGATGAGCAAGTTACGCCAGCTGAAGGTGAGTCAGGTGATCAGGTGGAAATAAGACAGCCGGTGATTCCACTTTTGTATCAAACTCCCCCTGTTTTTTCCAACTCTTTCTGATGTATCAACTCGCCTAATGCTGGTTTCAGACACTTACAGTTTAGAATACCTTCTTAATCCTTTAAAAGGCTTCATATGTGATTTTTCACACTTAAATATAATATAAATCAAGTATATCCTCTGAAAATAACTCTGTGAGTCATGACTGTCTACAATGGGTGTAACACCCGAGTCCCACTGTCTGTGATGTTTTCAGAGTTTTCAGAGTCCTATCTTCAGTTTGTTTACATCGCCAGGACAGCGGCTGACTCCTCCCCTCGTGTATAAAAGTTGTTTAATTGAGGGACTAGAGAAAAGAAGAATAACATACTGTACTCACTGCTTAACTGTGTTTCTAGATCACGCTCATTTCAGGTAAATTTACATGCAGTGTGAAGATACCAGCATAATAAAGATCGCTAGCATTAGCATGCTAACACAACAATGCAGCGCGAGTTGTTTTGGTTTCATGCTGGTGCTCAAGGGCGACATCTGCTGGATCAAAAAATCGCATATAAAGCCTTTAACGTTTTTTAACTGCACATTTTTAAGAAGTGTTTTGCTTCTTTGTCCTGCACACAAAACCTTTGGCTTTGGTATCTCTGCAGGAAATAGAGAAGGCCCATCACAAGCTTCTGAAGACCCTCACAGAGCCGCCTGTCAATCAGGAGTCAGAGGAGCCACAGTGTCACTCTGCATCCGTCTCCAGAACACCGTCTCTGGATCGCGGCTCCATAGACGGTAAGAGAGGACCAAATTAACATCCTCAAGACTAATGCAGGTTTACATTTTGTGCATGCTTAATATGATCTTTCATTTTCTTTGAATCAACTCAGGCAAAGAGGGCAGTCCAGCTGAGCCCAAGATCCTGTCGACTGGATTTTGATGTACGGCGTGCAGAGCAGGTTCACTTGCAATCGCTTAAAAAAAGGACGCGCACAAAACGTGTACCCGCTGTCAGACTCAGCCCCGTCTCCCCTCGTCCTTCCTCCCCTGCATGCACTGACCAGTGGAACAGAAGCCCCCCGCCCCCTCCCTCCCTCCCCTCCCCTCCCCCGGATGGACCACGACTCTTTGTTTTGTTTTGTGTGGAAGCTGGGCGGACGCACCGGGACTTCTGAAGTCTGTCAAAACTTCAGATGCTTTCAGGAGCCACGAGAGAGGTGTCCAGGACAAAGTGAGCGGGGGGGGGGGGAGAAAGTGATGAAGGAACAAAACAAAAACAAAAAAAGGCAAGACGACAAGTTGACTGGAGAAGAGGGAGAACAAAACAAAAAAAAAGTTGAAAAGTATTGAAAGTGGAAAAATGACCAAGTCGGATATTTTTTTTGAAGGAAAAATTGCGTTTTTATGTCTCGCTGGTTTGAAGGAGCAGAAAAGTGTTGAAATGTTAATTTAAGGAAAATCCAAGGGACCCATCACCCCCTGCACTTTACCCACAATGCATCCCTCTGTCATGTATGTCCTCTATGGATGGATCAGGGACTGGAGGTTGCCACTGGCTTTATGTTTGAGCCAAGATGGCCTCCGTGGGATCCCCCCTCCCCCTCCCCTCCCCCGCCTCCACTGGTTGCTTTACACTGAGTTCACCTGCCACCACGGCCGAAGGACTGTGTTGTTATAATTCAGGTTATTTGCACTGGGTAAGGAAACCAATATCACACACACACACACACACACACACACACACACATATACACATATCATTTAACCATCTCATTCGTTTGTATCCCCTTGAGTTATCCACATTGGGAACAGCCACTTTGACATATCCTTCAACCTTTTAAGCTACGAAATGACTGAAAGATTCAGTGCTACATTTTGATCATTACATTCTTCATTTTGTTTTGTTTTTGTTGTTGTTTTTGAAGTTCTGGAAACACTACTGCGCTGTTTACTACTGATATGCTGGCCAGGTTGTTTTTTTTTTTTTCTTTTCTTTCTTGTTTTTGTTGTTGCGCTGCTTCAGAGGCGTACAGGGATTTTAAAAAAAAAAAAAAAAACAAGCTCAGTGGATTCACACATCCGATCTGATCATGTCAAGTTTGGGAAATTTAGGATGTTTTTTTTTTTATTCTAAGGGGAAAAGTTCCAGACGTGAGGAGACTGGACAAATACAGATTCACCCTCGGGGAAACTTGAATTTTTTTTTTTTCATTGTTTTGTCGCTCAATGAAACAGCTGCCAAATATCTCCGCTGACCTCCGCCGGTCTTCACTTTTTAAGAGTCCCAACGTGAGTCTTTCAGCGGATTGTGTGTGAATATATACGGCGATGAATACTGTGAACCAGCAACTTCTCCTCTCTCCCCACCCGGTGGTCGTACCGTACACAGTGTTTAAAAATCAATGTAGCCCGACACCCAAAGGACTGTGCTCTTTTACCAAGTAGCTTTCCACAGAGAGATCCCGCCTTCACTGGGAGAAAGGACAAAACGTATATCCACATGGGCGACGTCGCTAAGTAACTGGTATATTTCCACTAACCTGTGAGAGCAGCACAAATACGTTTAGAGGAATAGTTTCATATTTTGGAATCACACTTATTTGCAAAGACTGGTACCACTTTCATTTTTTTCCACATACTGGTTAGCTTGGATTTGCTTAGCGTGACTTCCAAGACAGGAAACAAGAGATGTGAAAAAAAAGGGGGAAACACCCAACCTGGGCTTTTGTAAAAAAAGTCGACCTACAGGCGGCTAAAAGGTTGCTAATCAAGATGTTACTGTTCATTTAGCTCAACAAGTCTCCAGAAAGTGACATCGCCAGGCCGAGAAATCTTCTAAACACATGCAGAACCATCATTTTGTATGTTCTAGTGGGTTTTTTTAATCAAACAAACCAAATGAGACTTATCTTTAATGGTTTTAGAGTCGCTGACGGTCACACTCGTAGCCTTTTAGACGGAGCCATGCCAGCTGTTTCCCCTGTTTTTAAGTCTAAGTGACAAGCTAAGCTAACATGCTACAGCGTCATCTCATCAAACACTCAAAATGTCAAAACTGTTTCTTAAATTGGAGCGTATGATGGAGCGGTTTAATATCCTGGGCGTTCAGAAATGTTATTTTTCCCACCCCCTGCTGTCGTCGAGGCTGATTAATAAGTAAAGACTGACGCTGAAGCCAACGAGCTTCCTTTATTCATCACACTGTTTTACGCACACATACCAGAAACATCTGGAAGAAGTGTTGCAAAGAGGAATCCTCTTCCTGGACTGAATCTGGTTTGAGCTGGTTTCAAATACTAACCGAGGAGTTCTTTAGGAAGTCACACAGACTTTTTTTTTTTTTTAACCAGCTTCAGAAATGACAACACACAACCCTAACAGAACCGAACCAGGATCCATGTACATATTGACACACTACAAGAAGCCTCTGAATCTACCATTAAAAAAAAACCCAATAAACCGGACGCCTGATCCTCGGTTCTTTAACTCCTTACTCTCTGAAGTAGACACCACCAAGAAGTGTAACTTTCACAAACGAACAAAAACTCTGAAATCAGAGCTACTCACTGATCAATCAGGTCAGGTGATCTAAGGGACTGATTCTGTATGAACTTGAGGAATTTGTGCTAAAAATGGGGGGAAAAAAAGGTCTACCAAAGTGAAATGTCTCTCCTGTGGGAGTTGAAGGGAACAGTTTCTTTTTGATTGTTTTTGTGTGTTCTCAACATTTTGCCTGCTAAGATGTGTCCCCCCCCCACATATGGTAAAATACTGCTTTGTTTATCACACTTAAGAAGTAGTAAGTCCATCATTTGACACATAAACGTCCCTGTATTTGATTGAATCAGATTCTCCTCCAACTACAGCATTTTTTCATCTCCAATTTCTACCTCTTCACTTCAGTTATCTATCTTCCACCTTCTTTTTTTTCCAGACTTTTATCTTGTACATTGACATCAGCGTTATGGCCCTAACCAGCCGTTTAAAAAAAAAAAAAAAAAAAACAAGCTCTAACTGATTCCTTTTTTTTTTTTTGTTACAAAAAAAGTTGCACAAACGAACTCCCCTGCACGGTGCAAACTACTGTATGCATACACACGTCTTTAACTATCATCTCGTTGTCTTTTAATTTGTGTTTTTTTTTTTAAACAATACAAAACAAATCTCGTTCACTCATGTAATATAGAGAGATCAGACCCACTTGTTTTATATATGTCCATTTTCTTTCTGTAAAGCCTTAGTCCTCGTATTTGATTTTATTTTTGTAGATATGATTTTTAAAAAAAAAGGATGTATAAATTATTTTCTTCTCCCTTGTTTTTAAAATTGGTGAGATTGTTTAGCTGCACAGATGGAAAAAAAAAAGAGCTCATGTCTCAGATTCATGTGTTTTGTGAGATTAAAAAAAGAAACTGGATAAAGAAAATGTGCATGCGAGTGTTCGATCTTTGAAGTTCACTGATCCCTTTTTTTCAAGGTGGAATTAAACAATCTGACAAGTCACACACGGTCACACCACCCCGATTTCATTATTGTAGCTATAACTATAGACTGTATAAATATGGACGCAGAATAAGTGACTTCAACCATTGCTTACTGAGGCGGAGTTTTGAAGCCTGTCTATGGTGGTCGCCATATTGGAAATGCTGTCTCAAACTTTCAAACTAGTAACAGGCAAAGAGGCGGGACTTACGCCTCCTTACAAACGACTTCAAAAGCCTGCCTGTCAGTCAGATTAAGATCAACTAATCCTGTATTGACCCCCAGTGAGGAAATTCAAGTGCTGCATTGTGAAAAATAATAATACTTTTATTTGTGTGGTGCTTTTCAAAACAAGTTACAAAGCACTTTTAATAACTTTTATCCTTCTTAAAACTTTGTTGTATAACTCTTAATAACTCTAATCCTTTATAAAATCAGAACGGATGAGTTATAAAGTGTGTGCTGAGCGAGAAAGGAGCTATTCACACCAAATCCAGTTTTTGATCCAGGCTGTAAGCATGTTTAGGAACTGCAGTTTATGGTGTTGACATTTTTCGTTAGCTTTTGTAGCTCATAAAGAGTCAACAAATATTAATTTCTGTCTTTTTCATAACCAGCTATGCAGTACACTCCAAACAAGATGCTTTAATATAACACGCAAGAGCTGATTTAAAGCTGTGAAACTGGTGTTAAAAAACAGGAGGCAAAATAATTACCATTTGGGAGATTATTAAAAAATGATTGGTGAACGTGTTTAATCACTGATAGCAGATTTATCATACATTTATTTTCAGTTTTTCTTGAAGCAAGTTTGTTCCGCTAATAAATCCATTTTATTTTGAAGATATTTTGCGGAAGCTGTAACGCAACAGTCTCGCAGACTTGCCCTCCTCCGCTGCTGGATGCTCCGACTCTCTCTCAGCTCAGCGGGGCTCCGGACTCACGCACAGCGGGGATGAAGAGCGTGTCTCTCGGTTTGCCTGTTCGTGCAGCGGTGCCTCGTTTTTGAAATGCAACTTTTTTTCCTTTTTTTTTTTTTTTTTTCACCCGATGAAACCGAACTAAAAAAAAACAAACCTCGCTCGCAGGATAATCGAGTAACAACTCTCCGGTTGTGAATCCGTGCGGACTTGACGATGGGAGTCTGGAGAAAGTGAATTCGGAGCGTTCAGGGACACTTTTGTTGGAATCACTCGGCTCTTTGTGCAGCGGGGTTGCAGCTTTTTTTGTTTCCTCCGTGGAGAAAAGGTAAGACTTTCCTGCATGCAATATGGCAAAAAAAGAAAATCATGACTGTGCCTATTGCCTGCATGAAAACACCAGCTTACGCGTGTTTCGCTCAGTATTTGTTCTATTTTTCCACTCTCGGTGTGTTGTCAGGACTGATGAGTTGGCAGATAACAGCATCGATCACAAATCAACTAAACCTTGAATCACACCACCAGTGTGTTTCTACAGTCTCTGCGGGACTTTTTTTTTTTGATCCGTGCCACTTTATCCATTTTGCGCTTTAACGCGTGTGCCAAATGGAAAAAAGATAGATTTTTCCTCTGCTCTTTTCACGCGTGTGAGTGGAGTTCGCTGTGTCTGTTGCACACACAGCGGCATCACTCCATCCTGGGTGTGTGCTGCTTTGTCTCCAGCTCTCTCTCTGACTGAGTTGTTTCCTCAAAACTGAAGCGCCCTGAGCGACTCTACCTGAACTCTGTGGTCTGGGGTTTACGCTTTTTTTTTTTGATTTGGTGACTGTGAGTTTGTTTTGTAAAGGCCCTGAAGCCTGCTTGGGCTCGGGTTTGCTTCGAGGGGGGTGGGGGGGGGGGGGGTAGTATTGAGGAAGCAGCAGCAGCCACGCCTCAATGGCCCACTGCCACCCTGAGGCCTGGAGGCCCCCAGGAGCCACTATTCCTCCAAAACGAACGTATTAAACACAACATTACACTTTGAAACTTCGTTGTCCTCTCTTTTCTTTAAATGTTATCATAAAAGTTTATTGATCTGACTTTAAAAAAAAAAAAAAAATGCTAAATCAAGTTTTAAACACATAGAAAATAAATTGGTACTATCTAACAGCATCCACAAAACTTTTGTCAAAATCCTAATTATTTGTTTTCAGTGTGGTAACAGTTTCTGCACACGTGCAAAGCGCATCACTGCCCAGTGCTTTTCGATCATTGCGATTGATTGCAGCGGGAGCGGCTCGCCTGTGCGATCGATGCGATTGACCGTCTCAGAGAGATGCACAGCTGGTTTTTGTTGTTGTTCAAAGACGGATGATGGAGTTTAAAATCGGTCTGAAAGTTAGGAGTCTGTCTTTGAATGCAATTTTGTTTTTGTCCACTACTACACTCAACTAAATCGAGAACTGTTTTGTCAGATGATGATAAAATTCTCGGTCTGTTCTTCTCACTTCAGTCTTTTTCTTTTATATTTCAGTCTAATTGAACCGTAACATAAATTCTTAACAGTGCAACTTGTTGAAAATGAACTGTGCAAGTGCAACCCCTTCAGCAGTTAAAAATTAAAAAGCATATCGAAAATATCCCGTTAAAAATATCGATACTTGGCCACCATGAGACGATATAATATTTTGCCACACAAAATTTTGCGATACTATACTGTATCGATTTTTTTACCTTACCTCTATTAACTGTGTTCATCGACTGTGTCGCCAAAGCCAAAGAGCGTTTAGATTCAGAGAGTATCTGGAAAGCTTTTAGAAATGATCGATCTGACATTCAACAAACATTTTGTTTGTTGTTTTCCTCGTTTCCCTTTTCACACATACGGAAATCTCCTGAAAAACTCTGGAGATTTCTCCGGCCAGACCCCTTGTATTTTTTCCGCAGAAAATCCGAGTGAGCTGATGTCTGAACGCGGCAGCATATACTCCGGAGATTTCAACTCGAGCCAATACAAAGAGAATGACTTTTATATACAGTGACTGCTTAAAGTGTCTGCACACGACCTCTACGACCAGTATCGCTGAAATGACCCCGAGTGACCCTCCTTTAACTAACTGGGACTTGACATGAACGAGCCCTATACTCTGTGATGTTATTGACCAAAGAGTTCATTTACATTGCAAACTTTAAACGCGGCACAGAAAAGAAAGTCTTGCCCGGAAGTCGAATAACGCTGACCTCTGCTGCTGCAAAATGTACTTCAAAGTCAAAGTCAAAGTCAACTTTATTGTCAATTTCAGAATATGCCAGACATACAGTGGAATCGAAATTGCGTTTGTCTCCGTCCCGCGGTGCAATACAACCAAAATAATATAATATTTACAGTAATAAATTCTAAAATGTGCAAAAGGTACAAAATGGTAAATAAAATAAAATTTAAAGAAAAAGTAAACTTGTGCAATATGTGCAGTAAACTGAGTGTACTGAGCAACCCTCGTTTATTAAACACATCAACTTCCCACAGTGATCACTGAATGGATGCTGAATGATAAACTCTCGCTGTCTTCTTGTAAATGAGCCTTAAAATGTGCACAACCTGCACACAGCAGAGGCCTAAATATAGTTCTTCATGTTGCGTGACAATCTGGGCTGTCAGGTAAGGGTGATTTCCATTTTTTAACAACACGTGTTCTGCTTGATATGACGATGAAACAAAAGCCCAGGATGTTCTCCTTTCATAAAAATGTCATGTGGAAGTTTGTTTTAATGTTTTATCGTCACCCCAAGAGATGTGGTGTTTCCCTCTTCATGCTTTGGTGCATTTTCTTGTTGAGGGGCGGCTTTCCTGCAAACAGCATCAGTCTGTCCTTCATGATTTTTCAGATTTTAAATGCATTCATTCCCCCTCTCTCCCCCTTAGAGCCTTGCAGTACCTTGCAGAAGAGAATGGTCATGAATGGATATATGTTCAGAGTGATGTGCAGCAGCTGGCCGTGACTAAAAAGTGTGAGAAATCTAAGTTTTGGCTTCATTAGTCTGTGGATTGACCTTACAAGCTGATTTTTTAAAAATCTCCCACTGTAGCGAGTGGCTTTCATCAGATCAATCTCGAGTTCACAAACACTTGGCTAAAATTGCAGCTTTGGATCCAGATGATGTTGTTTGTTTGTGTGAATTAAGCCACATGGCTTCGCGTGTCTTTGTCATGAGGCCTCTACAGGCTCGTATGGACACTCTGCTCCCTGATGTTTCAACAAGTTTTGTCATGTGTGCATCACATGAAAGTCATTTCTGTAAACCTGTGGTGTCTAAAGTAGGAGATGAACTCAGGAGGTGAAGTTACAAATTGACAGTGTGAGGAGTTTCATTATTACATTAAGAGTCTGTTTCTTCTACAGCATGTTCAGAAAGTACCCTGTGCACTATCCAGTAAGAAACTAAACTAACTGGAGAAAACAAACAGATTTGAATTTTGCACACAACACAGATATATCATTCAAACCTTGTTTTTGTTTTTCAAACTCCTGTATCAGTAGTCTTTTTTTACCTTTTTTTTAGCTGTCAACGGTATATTAAAACATTTCCTGACAACTACCTTCATGTTTTAAAAAAAAAACATGTCCATATTATCAAAGAATTTAGTCACATGCTGAGCTAAAGTTAGCAGAAGAGCTGCTAAATGCTGCTTTCCACCTCAAACAGCTTCTGGTTTGACTTTGTTATAAGAAAAGGAGACCTGATGAAATTATACTCCAGGATAAAACCTCGTGATCCATACATTCTTCACAAAAACAACCAAGAAGAAGAACAATACGAAGCTGATGTTGACTTCTATCAGTACAGTACACAAGGATGTTTCCAGCTTACTACTTTCTTACAATTTGAATTCACACTTCCGTTTTTTCTAAATGGATAAAGGATCTCATTCAGCTAGCTAGTGTAGCGTAACGCAAAGCTAGCCACGTAACACTGATGTTTAACGTCAATCTACTTTATTCAGTGTTTTAATTTATTGAAACACACAGTCAGTCCGTTTTTGTAGATCTTCGTTTCTGAAAAAAAAAACAAGTAAAACTGCGTTTACTACTGTCAAAACTGCTGTTCAAGTTGTTAATAACCTGGTTTTTAAGAACTGTTTTCACGCGAGATGTTTCATAACGCAGCTTTTAGTTGCAAACAGAATTATACACCCGAAGAAAAGTGACGCGTATCAGTTTAATCATGTCAGAATTAAAGCCTCTTGAGTGATTAGTGTCCTTTTCTGTCTTCTGAGGTGAGGAGGGGGGTTGTGTAGTTGATTTTCTGGTTGCTGTGACAACAGACCCCCTTCTGTCTTTTCTCACCCCTTGTATCCCCATTCATCACCATTGTAGTAGTTTGAGCTCTGTTGCCCCCGGAGACCGCGGGGGGCCGTTGAGGAATGTGGCGTCTGGTCGAGTATGCCTCACACATGGACCCAAAACAAAAGAAGGAAACAAAACAAATCATATTTATTTTATTTTATTTGTTTCAATAGTGCACTGGGTTTGGTCTCTGAGATCATAAAATCGATTTTAAAACTGGAACACTTTGAGCTGCTCTGATATTCCCCCCTCCCCCCTCCTCTTGCATGGTGTGAACACAGGAGATTTGGAGCCCAGAATAGAGCTTGGCGTAATGGCGCTTTATTTGTTGGGAGCACGCTCAGGTCCAAATCACTTGAGTTGGCTCATAAAAAATCCGTCTAAGCGGAAGAATGGGCCCGGCCATGTCCTATGTGACTGAAAGTACACACATGGACGCTTTCACACACTGCAGAGTGCCAGCAGAGTAACAATACTGTCTCTCTTGTCGGGTTTGTTTCCCTCCACGGTGCCTTCACTCCTGTCTGATATGACGAATTATCCTCCCCTCTCCTCTCTCACGGCGTCTTTGCCTTCTCCAAACGAGCTACTTCTGTCATTTATCTTCTTCTTTCTCACCCTGTCCTCCTCCCCCTGTTTTTTTTCCAGGCCTCCAAGATAGATTCCCTCAGGAGTAAAGTGGACTTGCTGCGCCTCCCTCTGTCCCTCTCCGCCAAGTCAATCAGCGATCGCAAGAGCCAGCTGGGCGTGGTCTGGGAGAAAGGCGGTGGCTCGGGGGCAGCAGGGGCCCGGAGACCCCGCCCACCGCCAGCCTCAGACATGGACAACGAGTCGACATACTCGGGCTATTCCTACAAGTCGTCCCACTCAAGAAGCTCCCGTAAACACAGGTAGGACCACAGATACTTCTTATCACAAACAGGACTTTAACTTGTGAATCTTTTAATTGTCAGTTACCTTTCTAGCTCTTTTCAAAATATTATTAGAACTTAAAAACGTCAGGCCGAAATGGAAATTGAAGATTGTAATTTACTAGAAGCTAAATCAACTCCATATGTATAATGATATGTATCAATAACCGACTTGTTCACTTTCCTCTCCAGGGAGAGGAGGGACAGGCAGCGCTCAAAGAGCCGTGACATCACCTTACGCGGAGACAAATCGGTGACGATCCAGGCTACTGGAGAGCCGCTGCTGGACGCGGAATCCACGAGAGGGGACGACAGGGTCAGAGTTGAATTTGAATGATCTCATTTTTAAACTAAAGCAGGTCTTCTAACACAGATCCCTCCTGAAGTTTTAGTGCTCTCGTGTTTCGCTGGTTCCTAAGGGGTCATTGTTTCAGCCTTGACTCCAACCAATTGTTATTCATCTCTCCACTCTTTACTATCAGTCTCTGTTGTGTTTGATGCTGGCTGTTCACCTCTCCCTCCATCTGTATGTCTCTGTATCAAACTCTCTCTCTCTGTCCCATCTCTTTGGCCCAGTCAACAGGTGTCAGTCTGGTTCTGCTCGAGGTTTCTGCCTGTGAAACAAATTTTCTTGTCACTCTTACTCGATGGATAAATGTTGACTCTCTGTAAATGTCATTATGACGGGGGAAATCTACACTTGCTGTTTATTAGGGCCTGACCGATATGAGATTTTTGGGGCCGATACTGATATCAATATTGGGGAGGGGGAAAAAAATCAGATACAGATATATTGGCCGATATCTTTCTTGGACCGTTGCGTTGACCCTTCAAACATTTTTGGAAAAGATATAACAAAAACAACAACGGTCACTCAACTGGAAAGTAACTGCACATGTACTGCTTGTTGTATTCCATACATCGCCCTCTGCTGGTGAAAGAGAACTGCTAGCTTAATACAATTAAAACTCAAAATACTATTTGACTGGTGAAAAAATCTAGTAATATCTGCGATAAAATTTGCCGATACCGATAGTCACTGAATCCACAATTGCTAATATCGGCCGTTATTATCGGCTGGCCGATTAATCGGTCGGGCTCTACTCTTCATGCAATGTGTTAGGAGATCATTTTGTTATTTGGCACTATATCAATAGAATCTGATCGATTGTTTCATTACCTAAACTTCTCTAACTGCTCTTTCCTCTCTTCAGGATGACAACTGGGGCGAGACCAACACTGTGGTCACGGGCACCTCCGTGGACAGCGTCTCCAACGAAGACCTGGCACGGATCTCAAAGGATCTCGAGGACTCTTTGCCGCTGGACTGTCGCCGTTACCTCAGCCCAGCGTTGGGTGCCATCTTGGGGCTCTTTGCTCTGGTCACTCCTCTGGCCTTCCTGGCTCTCCCACAGCTCCTGTGGCGGGACACACTCGAGCCCTGCGGCACACCGTGTGAGGGCCTTTACATTTCTCTAGCCTTTAAGCTCCTCATTCTCCTCATCTCCACCTGGGCGCTGTTTCTTCGCCCGCCCAGAGCCTCTCTGCCGCGTTTCTTCATCTTCCGCTGTCTGCTGCTGGCGTTGGTGTTCCTCTTTGTGGCGTCTTATTGGCTCTTCTACGGGGTGCGCGTACTGGACTCCAGGGAGACGGACTACAGGGGGATTGTGGGATATGCAGCATCGCTTGTGGACGCGCTGCTTTTCATTCAGTACCTCGCCCTGGTGCTGCTGGAGGTCCGACATCTGCAGCCTGCGTTTTGCCTGAAAGTAGTGAGGACTTCAGATGGAGCAAGTCGCTTCTACAACGTGGGCTGTTTCAGGTAAGCGTTTGTAAACTTTGACATTCATCATTTCTAAATTCTAAGGTCTAAAGTCTACATTTCTTTCTTCTGGATTTTTTTTTTGATTCAAGGAGAATATCAGCCAAGTCCACCTTTAGAAAATCAGCAAATCTTGTTAAAATCTTTAGTAAATTTGCTGCTTTGACTAGAAATGCTACTACTTTTATCATCAATACAGGCTGCCAGACCTTTTACCTATACTGTAACTCCTGTTGTTAAAGTGTATTTCATTCTGTTCTGCACTAATACAGTAATTCAACGTTGTGTTGTAAGCGCTTCCCAAGTGCAGATGCAGATTGCAGTACCTAAAAATCTGTATGTACAGATCTGTATGGTTAGATGTCACCCTTTCATTTGCATTAACTTTTCCTCTTTATTAGCCCCATGTCTAAACTGTCTAGTGGTGCACTTGTTTCCACATTTCCTGGACTTATTCTGGGCTTTATTTCTCTTTAAAAGTAACACTACATTTTAAAGAAATGTAGGGTTTTTTTCCTGACAGTCTTGTATATGCACACGGGCCAGTGGAGGCCTGTGGTAATCCACCACTTCCTCCAGATGAATCTGTCAGGTTCTTGAGTGTGACACTCACTGATAACAGCTCTTTCTTGTAAAATACGGCAGTTAAGGGGAAACATTTGTTTCTCTCCCCCTGTCTTGTGCAATCCAGTATTCAGAGGGCAGCAGTGTGGGTTCTGGACCAGTACTACAGTGACTTCCCGGTCTATAACCCTGCCTTGCTTAACTTACCCAAGTCCATCCTCTCCAAGAAGATGTCTGCATTCAAGGTCTACAATCTGGGGGAAGGTAAAATGATTGTTGTTTAAACCTTTAACCATTTCCGTTCAGCCTATGACTCATCTGCAGTTTCCTTTCATGTGTAGATTTAAGATACACCAGACCAACATTTACTCATGTATAACACAATCACAGGACTTTGCTTTTAGTAACAGTGATATGTAGCTATATGTAAGCTAGTAATATAGGAAATATTGCAATACATTCACCTACGTACATCACTGTGATATCTGTGACCATGATAGAAAAACTTTGATTTGGTTTCATATTAATAAATGTATTAAAAGGGCTTTACTTGGCATGCTTGCTCAGGATGTCCAAATGCCAAATTAACTGGTTGACTTAACTTCCAGTGTTTTCGTCCACAGAGAACAGCACCAATAACTCTACAGGTCAGTCCAGATCCATGATCGCAGCCAATGCTCGGAAAAGAGATAACTCCCACAACGAGTACTACTATGAGGAGGCCGAGTTGGAGCGGAGAGTCCGTAAACGTAAGGCCCGGTAAGAACAAAACTGCACAGGAAAAAAGATGTAAAATGAGTTCAAGAGTATTTGAATTTTAAATTCAGCTTTTTCACTTATTCCCTCAATTTTCTCCTCCCAGACTGGTGGTGGCAGTAGAGGAGGCCTTCACCCACATCAAGCGCCACCAGGACGACGAGGCAACCGTTTCCTCCCCCAAACACCCGCGGGAGCTGATGGACCCGAGGGAGGCGGCCCAAGCCATCTTTGCCCCCATGGCGCGAGCCATGCAGAAGTACCTCCGTGCCACCAGGCAACAGTCTTACCACAGTATGGAGAGCATCATGAACCACCTGCAGTTCTGCATCTCGCACAACATGACCCCCAAGGTACGGATGGTAGTTTTGGGTTACATTCATTTCTATCTATATTTGTATACTATTACTTGTCTACATTTTTAAAGTACCAGAAATCATGTATCTGCTGCTGTTTTCGTTGTTATTTTGACTTTAAAGGTTGAATTAGCGATATTTGACACACAAATACAGCAGAAATCAAGTTTATCTGTAAATGTCTCTGTCAAAAAGGCGCACATTCTTCCTTTAATTGTTTTCTCGAACCACAGATATCTCCCAGCTTGAATTGAATAAGTTTTCTTGTGTTTTTAGTTTATCAATTACTTAAATAGAAAATGGAGTGTCATCTGCATATAAAGAAACGTTGTTTGAATTTCCCTAGATTTTGCCTTAATTCTTAGTTCTTTATATTATATTAAATGCCGGTAAGTTGCTTTTACCTAGTTGCTTTATAACTATGAGTATAAGAGTCATGTTAAAGCAGAGAACATCAACATTTAATTGTTACTTAACTACAGAACTTACATAATGCAACCTTTGAAAATTACAGGGATTCAAATTTAATTTTGTTTCTTTAATCACATTAATTGTTACCTACATCCTGTTCGTCTTTGTAAAACTCACTTGTACATGTTTTGTCTGTGTTATTTCAGGCATTTCTTGAGTGTTACCTCACCCCAGGGCCCACTCTCCAGTACCTGGACACCAGCAGAGGGCGCCAGTGGACACTAGTAAGCGAGGCGCCAGTGACCACTTCTCTACGGCAGGGCCAAGTTTTTTCCCTTAGCCGCCCAGACTTCTCGCTGGTCGTTACAGTGGCACCCCTTCCCTTTTTGCGCCTGAGCGAAGAGTTCATTGACCCCAAAAGCCACAAGTTTGTCATGAAACTCCAGTCAGAGACTTCTGTGTAGGCAGAGGAAAAACCGACATAGGAAAGGAGAAGGAGGATGAATCCAGGATACTTTTTTTTTATATATACATTTTGGGGGTATTTTTTATTTCACATGTCCAACATATGAACATAAACTGTAAAGAACAAAAACAAAGGTAACACCCACACACCACCTCTGACCTTATTCCTCTTTCGAGTTCTGTTGAAAAAGCTCAAGTTAGACACTTTCCGTTTACATCAGACTCTTCACTTGAAAGTCCTCTGCTGTTACTTCCAAGTATGATGACACTACAGAAATAGGGCTGTTTTTTTAACACTTTTAACACTAATTAAATCATTTATTCTTAGCAGTTCTTGCTGATTCTTAGAGAAAATGTAGGTATATTGTTTGTGGTAAATATTCAAGTCTGAGTGGTGGTGCAGTTGACCTTTTTATGTTTCAGACTTTAGGGTGTATCTTTAGAACCATCCCACTTATCTCTTCCTGTTTGAAGTTCTCGTTTCCAGATGGGTTTATTCTTTACAGACAACGAGAAGGCCGAATCGTGAACTGAAATAAAGAAAGAACCCCTGCCTTTTTCTGAACCTTCTGAAACTGCCTGAATCAAAGAGTTAAGAGCTGCTTCTTCTTTCAAGTCAAATGCACTGGAAAGTGAACGTAAAAGACTGTAACACTAAAGTATGTAGACACACTGGATGGATTTTGTGTACTGAACATTGTGTCTACAAGGTGTTATTATTTAATGCTCTGGTTTTGTTGTACAACTTTTCATTTTTTGATTTCCATCAACAGAAATGTTTTTGTAATGGCTAACACGACTGAACCAGGATCAAATAAACCTATTGGCACAATGTAGGGACAACATTGGAGCAGGTTAGGACTTGATGAGCTTAAGCATAATAAAGCCAAGTGATGTCACTGTCCTTTTTTTTTTCTTTTTCTTTTGACAGCTTGACGTTTGACAGTTCTAGGTATTTTGTGGTGTACGTGTGAATTTGTGTGTGTGTGTGCTTGAGCATGAGGAGCAGCTGTCACGCAGAGGGCCACACAAAAAGGAACTGGACGAAAGGCAGCACTAAATGAAAATATGTATTAAACAAAAAGGCAAAAAAAGAACGTACCTTCTTCAAATCCAAAATGTCCAACAAAAATCCACAAAGGAAACTAGGAGTCAAACACTGGAGCACAGGAAGGTAGATAACGGACAGACACCAACACTGTCATCCAACAAAAATGTAACATTGAACTGACAAGAGTGAAGGAACACTGAGACTAAAGACACGGGGGTAATTAGACAAAGGTGAGATTAACAACACAGGTGAAAACAGTGAGGGCAATCAAAACTGGAGGGAGACACACTTCCAGAGGCAGGATTAAACACAAGGCAAAAAAACAATTAACATTTAATTCAGCGGGCGAGGTTATGCTAACGTCATGGTAGCATCCTAGTAGACACCAGTTTATTAGCTTTAAAAGAAAACCAGCACATATTCACATCTGTGAAACCACAACCAATCAATCATTTGGGTGATTTTGCCTTGAATAAAACATTTAGATAAAATATCAGTTATCAAATAAATGATAAGTTTACTGATCAAAAAACAACTCCTGCTTCAGATAAACAGCCTACTTGGTGTTCGGACAAATAATGAAGCTGATATAAATATATCAATCAGTCAATTTTTCTTTGTATAGCGACAGTTCATAACCCATTTTCCCAGGTTATCTAATATTGAGCACGTTTTTTTTGTCCTTTCATTCACACGACTGAATGAGATACTCACAAGCTAGCTAGCTACTAGAATTGAGCAAGTGTAAAGAGTTTGTTTTAAATAAATGGTGTCATCAGGAGTTTTTTATCTTGTGTTAGTCACAAGTTGTCTCGAGTTTAGGTATGAGTTAGCAGGAAGAGAACGTGGGTGTAAAATAAAAAAAGTCCGATCAACATGAGGGAAAACATAGAAGTCATGTTTTTTTTTAAAAATTGAAACATGTATAAACCACATTAAGTCTCATTATTCTTGGGAGTCAATTTCTGGATTAATCATCTTAAAATAACTGATGCACTTTTAACAAGATTTTTCATACCATACGATTTTCATCACGTGGACGTTGTGACGTTATCAAGAGGAAGTCGGTTTCCTGCCACAAATTTCACTCACTTGGTAAAGATGAAACTTGAAATCCTCCGCTTTCTATTTCTACAAGGTATGTCTTTTTTAAATTTGGTCAGAATCATTGAGTAGAACCTGAATGCAAACTAACATCTCTGAAATATTCAGGGGGCCGGGGGGAGTCGTAAAATGGTAGAATAAGGTACTTCCTGAGTTCAAGAATTAAGAAGACTATGACTGCTGTGAGAGTCTGATATATGGGAAAATGGTAAATAGATATTATGTATGATTAGCAATTCTCTTGAGGTATTTGATCGTTTTTCTCTGAAGTTGTGTTCTCAGAACAAAAGCAGTCTTATAAACCTTAACAATACTCACTAGTATATTTTAACCTATACTTAACCTAAAGTACTTTGACTGTTCAAACCATATCCTGAAAATGTCTCAGTTGTAAGCTACAGATTATTATTTTTTTGCTGTAGTGTGTGGCATCAGTTGACTTGCTTGCTGCTTGTTTAACTTACATTAGGCTACAATGTTAAAGGTCACATATTATCCTCCTTTTTAAGAAGTTTAAAAAAGTCTCAGAGTTCCCCAAAACATGTCTGTGAAGTTTCTTGTTCTAAATCAACTCTGACCCTGTATTTGATCATAACTATAAACCCCTCTATTTCAGCCCTGCTCAGAACAGGCTGTTTCTGTGTCTGTAGCTTTAAATGCAAATGAGCTGTGTCTGACCACGCCCCCTCTCTGGAAGGGCTCAGGTGGCTCGGGCTTTCTCGCTCCATGTCCTTTTGTTTACATTAAGAATGCAGACTCAGAGGGCAGAACAAACACCTAGCTGTGGGAGTGTCACCCACCTGGGGGAGGGACTACTGCCCTTTGTGATGTCATGAAGGGAAAATCTCCAAACAGCCTGTTTGAGTATAGATTTTCTGAAAAGTGGAGCAGGCGAAAGACGGACAGGATAGACTTTTCTCATGATTGGGGTGTTTGTAGACAGACTAGAGACACATGTTAGCTTAAAGTTAAAAAAAAAAAAAGTAGCACACTCAAACAGTATCAAATCTTCAGGTGCATGACCGCAAAAAGACAGATAGATAAAGAAAAGTTAGCTGCTGCTCTACCCAGATTATATAACGTTAAATGACATTGAATGTGCTGATGTTTCTGTTTTCTTGTAAGCTTAAAGTTGGCTAACAGACGTTTTTTACATGTATCCCCACTGTTTTTACTTTTCTGTGCAATAATTTTTATTTAAAACGTAACGTACTGTATTCAAACTGTTTATAAGTAATGGTAACTTTTCCACACTAAGTCCCGCCCTTTTTTCAAAATGATACTTTTTTGAGTTTTTAATTTGACCCCCAAGTTAGCTATCCACCAAATGGAACTGTAAATAAACATTAGCTGAGTGTGATAATGCTGAACCTTTTTTTTCTTTCTTCTAGTCGTTTCAAAGTGAGACTTGTGGAAACCATCAGGGAAGCCACGGGGTATCTAGAGGGGAACGTTACTTTGGCCTCAGGAGCAAACCCAAATTGGAAACTCTCCACAATCGAGTGGTCAGTTTTCACTAACTTTACGTGGATTGCCACCTATCGCAAAGGAGAAGAAAACCTTGACCGCGTTGATCGGTATAAAGGACGACTTACTCTTAACACCACCACAGGTAACAGACACATCAATCACCTTTCAATGTAATGGAGTGCTTATTTGAATTTTTTGGGTCTTGACAATATACATGTTTTTTGTTTTCCATCAGGTGACTTGACGATCCATAAATTGACCAAAGAGGACAACATGGAGTACACTGTGGAATTCGCCAATACTTTGGGAAAAGACAGCTCCTCCAAAATTAAACTCAACGTGAATCGTAAGGGCCACTTATACTTAAGACTAACTTAGAGAATATATTATATTAGCTATTATGAAAAGCAGCTTTTGATCAAATGAGAGTGACTTTAACCTTTTCTTTTCTGTAAACCTTTATTGCGGAGTGTATTAACGTAAGACAGACAGTGAGGAGATATTTCAATCAGGACAGACTTATGTAAGAGTTAACACTTGTGTATTTAAAAGTTTAGGAAAAGATAAATATGCAATGTCTTTGTCGATGAGACTCCGTCATGATGACTTCATGCACACAGAGGGGTAGCGAGGCCGACAGCAGAATAGGATACCCCTAATTTCCCCTCTCCAGATTAATAAAGTTGATCTCCTTCTTCTTTATTCAACTCCTACAGAACAACTTCAGAAACCGACCATACAGACGGTCCTCTCCGGTACATCAACAAAGGGAGGCTGTTGGAAGCTGCTGAATTGTTCTTCAACAGACAGAGATGTTAACTTATCCTGGCATGTGGAAGGTCCAAATTCAATTGAGAATTGGACTGGTGGCAACCACACAATTCTTATTGTATCGCTAAACACCACACAAAGCCCCGTCACTGTCACCTGCACCTCCAGGAGGAATATGAGGAGCAGCTCAACGGCTATCACTACAAAATGTGATGGTAAGGTTACAATGAGGGAACATGAAAAAAATATATTGTGATGAGATTAGAAAATTTGAAACAATTTCGGACCAGTTTATCGTTTTCATTTTAATTTTGTTAGATTGTGTTTCCCAGAATTCCTTGTGAATATCCGTTATTGTCTTTTTACGTTGTCAGTTATACTAATTTAAACATTCAAGACCTTCATGAAGCCAAACTCATTTGACATGTTCCTTCTGATAATGTTGTCTGTTTAATGTTGTTTTAGACTCCATTCCAACCAAGTCAGCTGCTCCTAGGTATATTCTTTGTTTTTTGACTGGAATAATCCTGGGAGTCATAGCATCGATAATATATGTCAAAAGAGGTAAGTGGGAATCATCGTCATTTATTGTTTGTCCTCTTCTTCCAAAGGGAGGGGGGTTTATAATCTCATCTGAGAATGATCAAAGAAGCACAGCAGAGCTAACAGACTACAAAAAGACGTCTTCTATTACTGAACTATCTGGTAAAGGGTCAGCACCAGTCTGTGCTTGAGTGCTTAATTCAATGAGTGTTATCATGAGTAATTACAGGATCAGACCCACTACAGGCAAGAATTCAGTCTAGACTGGGCGTCCCCATTATCTTTCATTACTTTCAATGTCACGACAGGTTAGTGCTGGAGAAATCAGCTCTACCGGTTGCAGGCTATAAAGTACTGATTAGGGATGTGCACCGCTAGCTTAGTAGAAAGTTAAACATCATGACTCACGCTAGTCGGCACCAGAGTTACTAGCTGGTTAAAAGAAACAACATTTTACATTTTTGGAACATTTTTGGAGGAGTTCAGTTCCACCTTGGAGACTCAGGGGGGGTTAAATTAAATTAATCAGAAATTAAACCCTTTGAATGAGTAAATATGCAAAGAGGTGGACACATATAGTTGGCGTTCAAGGCTGGATTTGTGACTTTGGGGGCGCTATGATAAATGTGGGGATGAGAAAGAATCTTTAATGTTTGGGGTTGCTGCAACAAAGAAGAAACACATTTTTTGAAAGTCGCATGGACAAAGTGTCTTTAGCTTTCTTTGATCACCCTCAGTCACTCATATATCCCTTGTAAAACATCATGTTTATATACATTATTATATCATTTGTTCAAAAGAGCCCATCATCAGCTTCCTTAAAGTAGCCCCGCGTGAATAAAAAACATCATGATCAAAAAGGTAAGCTTGCTTTTCTTTGTCTCAAGGTTTTTTATCTTCCAGTGTTCATAATGTTGACATGTTGTTTTTTCTCCCCCCCACCCCACAACCCTTCACAGTTAGCCTGACACGGCAAAAAAGAGGAGAGAAAAGATGCAACACCACAATAATCAGTGAAGGAGACTACAGTGTTTGTGTAGCTATGATATTAAATTGTGTTGTGTTATTTAAAATAAAACAATTTTTTCATAAAATAATCATTTGTCACTCTGATATATAATGCGAAGGAAAGCAGCGCGAGTCTGTAGAGGCTGGACCTCACAGGAAAACAATCAATACAGCTAACCTAACCATGAAGACATTCCTACAGACCAGAGCTTCAAATCTACGGAAGCCCAAAGTGGACAGACATGAAAACATTTTATTTAGCTCTTTGTTAGTGATAACGACTAAACTTTGGTAGTTTTTTTGAGATCTTGACTTACTGACGACGACGTGGTTTTTCCCATAATAACGACTTAATTGCTCGAGATCTTGAGAAAACCACCGACATTTACGCATTATCACAAGGAAACGGGCGTTGTTTTTCCGAGATAACGAGATACAACAAGTCAAGATCTTGAGAAAATAGCTGAAATGTAGTCGTTATCCCGTGGTATAAAAAAAAAGCCCAATTAAAACAATTTTGTATGTTTGTATATCTTTGGGTTCTGATCTTTGTTATGATTTTCTAGTCAAAGTGGGAGGAGCTTAGGCAGCAGAGCATTGGTAGAGTCTAACTGACATCATTAATGCCTTTTTTAAATCAGATTTGAGGTGTTATTACTGCTTCTTTTAATCCAGTCCTGCCCTCTTTGGAAAGCATCATCTTGCAGACAACGGCTCATGTCTGAGATGATCAGATTCTATCAGCACTCACTTTGTGATTTTCTACAGTTTCTAGACACAACAGAGCGGTCAGTCTGGTAATAAAACAGAAAAGGGATTTGAGCTTGCTATTTAAAGTGTCCATCAGTATAACTAATCCAATTCACACACATGCATACGCTGATGATGAAGCAGCGGGAGAAATTCAGGATCTTGCCCAAGGACACATCGGACATGTGACTGCAGGAGCTGGGGATCGAACCCCTGGCCATCCAGTTGAGAGGAGACAGACTCTTCCAACTGAGGCATGGACAACCAATGGCGGTTCAAGGAGGTTTATGTACTCTTAGCGACTAATTAGTAAAAGAAAAAAAGAAAAATTTGGCTTGTATTGAGTGAAAACATGACTTTTTGTGTCAATTGCGTAACTCGTCGGCAGCCCTGTCATACAGTAATCTTCAGGTTCTGATTCAAGAGCTAAAATAATCTTGTTTGTTGGATCTTGAACCCAAACAAAGGTGAGATGTAGAAAAATGTGTCAAATGAGACATGCTAGCCAAAAAGTATAAAAGAATGATGAACTGTGAGAGTGAGTACAGTACATTTAATATGACCAGCTTTGCAGAATGGTCTAAAGATAGGTTTCAGGAGTACAGATAACCATGTGCTTGACACACACAATATATTTCTATCAATATAATCTCTGTATTTACAGAATGTACATTTGTGTATAACATTGGTGCAAACTGAAAAAAAAAACTAGTACCAGACAGTGAAATGCAGTAATATATTCAAACATTCAGCTTTCTCCATCAAAGAAACAAATTAACACCTGAAATACAAACATTCCAGATTGAAGATATTTTACAAAAAAGGTGAAATTCTGGTTCAAACCAGAGCTGAACTCATTTTTAATTATTGTATTTTAAATGTGACATTGGTTTATTTAGTTTGGAGCAGTACATCGAGCCCTCTATGAAATGTCTTGGTAGGCGGACACAGACTCTTTCTTCATGCGACTGAACTGGATCTTGTCGTAAACAGTCTGAGGCTGAAAGAGGAGAAGACAAAAACAAGCAAACATCACTGACACAATAAATCGGTAGATATGAAGGCTTCTTTTAATATAACCAAGTTTCTTAAAGGAAGAATGTGTGACTTTTTTTGATCCAGTAGGTGTCGCCCTCGAGCACCAGCATGAAACCAAAACAAACTTCTGTTTGGCCACACCTCCGCTACCCGAAGCCTCCGCTACCCGAAGCCTCCACTCTCCTCCAGCGACACACCTCCAACCCCCCTCCACTCACATTCACTCAAAGGAGTTTAGCACAAGCGGCAGACTTAATTATCCTCGGCTCAAGCTGCAATCGCCTGTGGCCTGCATTGAAGTGTTAGCACGCTAATGTTAGCGCTCTTAAGTTAGCTCCTAGCTTCACATTGCATGCACATTTAAACAGAATGAGCGTGATCTAAACACACTTATGCGACATCCAAATAAGAAGTGAGTATGTTCTTCTTCTTTTTCTCTAGTCCTTTACTAAAACAGCTTTTATACACAAGGGGAGGAGCCAGCCGCCTCGTCCATGTAAACATGATGTAAACAAAGCCCCGACAACAACACAGCCGGCGGTACTCACTCTTCTCGCTCATTGTAGACAGCCATGACTCACTGAGACATTTTCAGAGGATATACTTGATTTATGCTGTATTTATTTGTAAAATTTAAAAAGAATCTTCTTTTAAAGATTACGAGAAATATAAGAAAGAAATGTCACAAGCATAATTTGAAAAGAATGTGTATTGTTAGCAGCCATGTTAGATTATCTACCAATATACACGTTCTGTTTATCCTCTGGACCCCAGAGCCTCCGAGGCGGTCTGTATTTTTAAACCCTTCCAAAGTGTATAAAAACATGGAAAATAAAGTGGAAGCTTTAACCGTAACCAGAACGATTAATGACATGTTGAGCTCATTTTCTTTATCTGCTGGTTAGATACTTATGAATCTAGAAATGGCTCCCCAAAGCTTTTAGGGTATGTAAAATTCTACATTTTTGGTTTCAGGGAAATCGCTAATTAGCTTTATGCTATATGTTATTTTTGAAGCTTTTCTTCAAAATTTCTATTTTTTTGGGAATAATTTAATTTAATATTTTTGAAATTCTTCCGGCGGTCTAGACGATTGAAAAAGAAATAAACACACTTTTTATTTTCTAAACAAAAGCCATGGGATGTAGACAAATTGAAGTGAAGTCATTGGTATTGGGTTTACGTTTTCAAACTCAAATTACAGGGATTATTTTAGTTTGAAGAATTTACAGAAAAAAATAAAAAATAAAAAAAAATTCTTACCACAGGCGTGACTGGATCCACTCTGTTCTCGATAGTTTCGTACACTGAGCATGGCGTCATGGTTGATAAATTCCCCTGTAGGTTGAAAGTCCCACAAACAGAGGTAATGAGAAATTGCAAAAATGAAAATAAAAAGTGGTTAAATAATGAATTCCTGTCATAGGAACGATGATGCAGATGATTTATGGATAGAAATATATTCTCTGTTTACATGACTTTACTTACAGCTTCAGTTGCAACTTCATTGATGTCGGCGTACAAAGTCTGGTCGTTTGACTCACCATCTGTTGGTGGATTTAAATGAAGATGGGAAAATATATTGAAAAAACAATCAAGAGATGTCCCTTTAGAAGTATATTCTCGTACAGTATGTCCTCGTTATCTACGTTCAGGTGTGCACAAAAAAAAAAGAAGACATCAAAAGGTTTTGATTTTGTGACAGTAGCAGAGACCATCAGTGGTTTACTGTAATCCTTTGGGGCAATTAAAGACCAGTATGTAATTGTTAGGATTACATACAATACGCAAGAAATAGATAAAGCAAATGGCATGTGTTGAATTCTTAGACATCATTTTAAAACACTTAATTTGATTATTTACAGGCTCTGTAGTTAATGAATTGCATATATCGATAATATGAGAAGTATGGTATCACAGGTCTGTTTTTTAGTTGGTTTTATCTAGTTTCCATGCTTTAATTGTATCTTCAATTCTCACCCCCCAATACGAGACTCTCCCTTGATTTACGGTTTACTAAGTAAAAAACCTGAAAGGTTTGTTTCCATGTGGTTGTTACACATTTAAAATGAAACTTAAAGCCTGTTCGGAGGGAAAACAAGCACATGTAGTGGTCTGACTTCACAGGTTTGAATTGCCCCAAAGGATTACATTGTAGACATGACAGCCGTGACAATCTAATGTTGAAACACCAAAATGGTTTGAACTTTAAACATTCTGTAAATAACTTGGGCGTGTGTAGACAAATAGAAGAGTTTCTCTTACCCTCCGGACTTTGTCTGCAGTGGAAAAAAACAGCTACCCCAACAATGACGATAACCAGCAGTATCGCTGAAGCCACGCCGATGACAATGCCAATGTTAAGTGGGCCTGCAAAAGATGATATTATCTTTAAGATGATATTCTCTTAATGATGAAACTGTTATGATTGAGTGATAAAAATAACCATCAAGCTTTTTTTGGGAGGTCAGATAAAAATGGAATATGCTTCGAAAGAAAAGGTGCAAAAACAAATCAAGAAATTCAACTTTTTATATGAAGTAGTTGATGGTAAAAACTGAGCATGAACTCAAAGTGAAACATCAGAAATAGTCGTCTTGACGTGGTTATGTTTGCGTTCTCCTCTTCCTGTTTGGTGAAACAGGAGACTGTTGGTATCGTGAGCAGGCTCTAGTTCTTACTCATCCTAACTACGTAGTTTGGAAAAAATAAATGTATCTTTTTTTTTTTTAAACCAAATAATATGAACTCAAAAGTGTCCCAACTGTTAGGAAGTCAAGCTAAAAATAAATGTTTGAATACAGCAACCTGTCAACAATGTGTTTCCTTCCTGTCACTTCTGATTCCCCAAAAATAAAAGATTGGGTCGGCCATCATTCCGGTTTCAAGACTTGTAAGTGAAAGTCCACAAACAAGTAGATCATTTTCTGATCGCAGTCTTTGGGGTTTACGCCAGTTTAGGTTATGTTAATAACCGGGGTTCTCTGAAAAACAAGTGTCGGCTAACATTTCTAAGCAGAGCGGTTTTTAACATTAGTTTGTAAGATTGTAAAAGTGGTATTATAAATGTATACATGTTGTAGTCATCATTTGAATGGAAGAATCTGGAGTAAACATTTGAGATATTTGAGGTATTGAGTTATGACTCATATGTTTCCATTAGTTGATGGTTTTAGAATAAATCCAGATGGACTAGTCAAACCACTAATAAGGAAAATCAGCCTTCCAAACCAACTTTTTTCTTGCGATCATCATCACCAGTTGACATTCATAAAGACAATAATGTAGCAAAGCTTAACACCAATTAACACCAACCACTTAGCTGTACCTACTTGTGTTTATTTCTTGCGGATTGATGGTGCACTTCACTGTTGTGGATGTCGACATCTCGCTGACTGGATTGTAAATTGTGCAGGTGAACTCTGTGTCTCCATCTTGTGTCTTGAGGTCGTATTGCAGCCTGGGGCCATTTCTGATTTCCTTCCCTACAGTCCAATTGTAGCTGACATCAATGTCAGAGTTCACACTGCACTGGAGCAACACCATGCAGGAGTTGGTGAAGGTCTGCCAGGTGGAGTTGCCAGTCAGGTTAGGCTGTTTTGTTATTGAATCTGACAAGGAAATTGAAGGAGAAAAGAGAGAAGAGCAAAGTTTTAATCATGCACTGGAGCTTAAAAGTTGTGAAATTGTTAAAAAAAAAAAAAAGAAACACTACACATTTAAAGGTGGAGGTGCAGAACTAGATCCACAGAACAAACGACTCAGACTCAAAGACTCTGGACAAACTGTGAAGTAAAACCAGAAGCCTTTCCTCTATTTGCTCCAAAAATGTAAATATGTATCAACTTAATGATTATGAGCTAAAGAATTATTTGTAAATAGGTTAAAAAAGCAACAATCTGAATGTTTACCTGTCCTAAGAGAAATATTAAATCAGCAGATTAACGTTGCATTATAAGGAAAGAAGCAAGGGCATAAGGTTCAGGTCTCAGGAATGACCAACGCAAATGTGAATTTCTTCTGTGAAATAATATATAACATCTGCTACTTGTGCAAATGTAAGAATATACTTTCATGTAAAGGCACAAACAAACAAAGACACAAATAAAATGTTGAAAGAAATGTTAAGAATGGTGAGTTTGTTGTACCCATTGTGTACTCTATAATTAAGCAGATATATGTTCTATCAGACGCTGCCAACCTGGGGTAACAAGAAGGATAGAAAAAAGAGAATCTTACTGTGAACTTTCAGAGTGACTGAGACTGTGTCCCTTTGTGTTCTTACTTCTGAGACAAAACTGAATTCACCAGAATCCTGCAGAGTCAGCTCTCTCACTGTTAAACTGAAGTTTGAAGGGTTCAGTTTTAATCTGCCCTTAAATTGTTTTTCATCAACAGTCTTATCTATGTCTGCAATCATTGACACTCCATATTTCCACTTTGCTGCAGTGACTCCTTCAGCTGGTAAACACGACGACAACTCCACTGTGTCCCCGACTTTTTTATGGAGGACATGTTGACAACTGAGAGCCTGCACATCTGAAACACAAAAGCACATTTCTATCTTCATAAAAGTACATTTTGAACTAAAATGTTGTCTTTAACTACATTTAATTATGACAACAAGTGATGTAAAAGACAAAAAAATAAAGCTAGACAATGAGACAATTGTCAGGCATACAAAAGTCTGAGGGAATATATCATTTAGATTTTTTTAAAGTGAGCAATATTAATAAAAAAAACAAGAATAAATTGAAGAGAGGCATACAGTAAGTTGTTGGTGTGTGCACACATGTAAAAGCTTGTTTTGGTGGCAGTGCATATCTGTATTATGAGATTAATTACAACTTATATGATGAGTTGGGTTATTAGATAAACATGGCAGGGTACTGACCCTAACAGACCAAATGACATACATTAGGGAAAAGCGCAGCAAATTCAGAAATTATGCAAATTGAAAAACACATGCAAACAAATACAAAGATGCAAATTCATAAACAAAATCAAAAACAGACTTTGGACACTAACTGCGTCTCCGTCTGTATGTGAAGCCACTGACGACGAGCTGCTTATCTGTTTTTCGTTGTAATTCACAATAAAAAATATATTCTATTCTATTCTCCATTCTGCAGTTAGCATTAGCTGTGCAACTGACTGAGCTCTGATGCTAACACACTCCCTGTACTCAGAGCCCTACAGCAGGCAGGGTTAGCAAACTAAAGATACGACTGTTACATGAACTGTCCTCAAGTTGCTGACCTCAATAAGCCTCGCATCTATCAGAAGTCCCAGAGCTGAAGCTAACACTAGCTGCAGGGCTAACAGAGCTCCATTGCTAACAAGAGTCAGCTAAGAGTGCTGCTAGCTGTGTGGCTAACTTGAGCTACTTTAATGGCGCTATATGTCCATCAGACACCATTTCACAGTAAAGTTCTGGGGCTTTGAATCTGTTTTTTTATGTATGTGTTTGTGTTTTTGACTTAGCATTGTTTATGAATTATCAGCGAGTTAGCTGAAGGAGTTTCACCTTTTTTCAGCTTTTATATTTATTTGCAGCGAGTTTCAGTTGTTGCATTTGTTTCAGTCTTGTGCTTTTGAATTTGCATCGTCTCTGAATTCGCTGCACGTGTTCCTTAGTAGTCATTTGGACTGTTTGTTGCCGGTCAATTGCCCTTGTCGGCCACCGTAGAAGGGTGAGGGGGGAAAAAATAGATAAATAACTTTAAAGGAGTCACTATGTTAAAATACTGCCACAAACGTCTTTCTTACCAAAGGCTCTAAGCGTAATGTGTCAAACTTGTGTCTGAGTGCTTGAAAGAGCAAAGCCCAGCAACACACAACATGACACATTTAAAACGGAGGATGAAAAAGGAGGCCTACGCACATCACGTAGGTGCAGGGCAGGGCAAAAAACAGCAAACTCAGGAAGAAGATAGGTCTGAATTTGTTTAAAAATTATCACCTGAAGAAGACCTCAGGTCAAAACGTTGTGATTCATAAAAACCTTTTTTGCGACATTTTAGCAAGCGTATGGGCCTATCTTCTTCCACATTTAAAACCTATAACAACATCACAGACATGAAAAGGTACTTATGAATAATCACATAGCACACCATTACAAGTGTTAGACGTAAATAGATGGCATCGCGAGACGATGAGACTAAAAATAAAAACTACACATTATGACATCATGATTTTCCATGCCTCAAGTACAAGTCAGTATCAGTATATAACAGCATCTGTGTAAACAGTCATGACAGTGAACTTTCCTTAACCACAACAAGCAGATTTAGTTTCCTGAAGTCATCATAAACTAGTGGGAGAGATGAACATTTTTATTGAGTCAATATGTGAATTATTGTTGGTTTTGTCAGACTGAAAACTTAAAATAAATTTGAGGATGAGATATGCAGTAAGTGGCTCTTTCATGGTGTCAGATAGTCCATGTAAGACTCCAGATAAAAAAAAAAATGAATCCATTGTTTTGGCTGGTGATCTTTTTTATTAGCAGCTGACACTGTTTTTATTATTTTACTTTTCGCCTCTCACAGGCTAAAAAGACAATAGTCTTTAAAGCCCGCCAGGTTAACACTGACTCATTTAGAAAGAAAAAATATTTAAACCACAGACTATGACCTCAATAACAATAGTACCTTCAAAGTTCCCCTATGCTCTGCCGTTCATACTTTTCCTGTCAGCGCTGCTGCTGGTTGTGGCTGTGAATTCTTATGAATAACCTTATGTTCACCTAATTCAATTGTCCTGTCTATTTTCAGATGGATGTGTATTTTTAAGCATCACAACACTCTTCTACCGTTTGCTCACTTATTAACTATATTGACCTAAAATTGAAACATTAATTGCTTTTCCACCTTTTCAAACAGTCCCCCTGTGGTCTAAATGAAACATCTGTGCTGTGCTTTGGTCAAAATATAACATAAGCAAGCACCAGAGGAGGTTTGTGACCCTGTATAAACCAGCTCTCTCAGAATGCTCCGTTTTGGTGTGTGTGTCTCTTTAAATGCAATGAGCCCCCCTGAGTTTTCCTGGTCAACATCACTCCTGCACAAAATTTTTGTTCTAGGCTCGGGGTGGAGTCCATTGGTGGAGAAACCAGGGGAGGGGAGGGGATTTATTTTGTAGCGGAATCCCACTGTGACATCACAAGGGGAGCAAATTTGAAACGGAACATTTTTCTCTGTGTTGTAAGACTTATGCAGACCACAAACAAAGGACTGGATGGGTTTATTTCACATTGTGTGGGTCAGTAGACACTCAGGTTACACAAATATATGTTCAAAAACACTGTAGAAGTAGATTTTTCATAATATGTCCCCTTTAAATCGAGCAGAAACAAGTCTTTTAAACACTTGCATGCAGACCTCTACTTTGGATTTGGATTTGGAAAATCTTTATTGTCCCCGAGGGGCAATTTGGTTTGCAACAGGTAGTCAATACATCCATAAAAAACAGCACAATGACATAAATACATATAAAACATAACTACCATGGAAATCACCATGATGGACGTGAGTGAGTTAAGAGACAAAGGACCAACAGTCCATAGTAAAAGTGTAAAAACAACAATGCCTACAGCTTATTTAAAAACCCAACAGCTGATGGAACAAACGACCTCAGGTATCTATTTGATTTCAACCTCCTTACATAAGTGAACCCCCGCCCTGTCGGCAGAAGTCTAAACTCTGCATGCAGGGGGGTGCTGAGGGTCTTCCAAGATGGCCTTTGCCTTTCGAGTAGCTCTTACTTGAAAAACATGGCCGAGATCATTCAAGTCAACTCCAACTATCTTTCTGAGTTCTTCTTCTACTTCTGCAAATACTCTGAACATGTTCACACCCTATTGTTCCGGTCTAACCACTAAAATGACTAAACAGATTTTAAGGAATTCTATTTTACAGTAAAACAGTATAACCTATTTTTCTTAAAAAAAAAAACAGAAATAGGGAATTACTGGAAGAGAAAGGATGATTCATCGCTGGAAAAGACCACACCCCCTTTGTTCCTGTCTAAGCAGTGAATTAACAGTTTATACTGTTTGACCGACTAGGATTTAAAAAAATTCAGCAGTCAATGCTTAGGTCCAAAATCCATTATGCAAAATATATAGCATGTTTATTTTTACCAAACATAGGCGAGAAGAGGAAGAGGAAGCTAGTGAAGCAGAAAGGATGACCCTTTCTTGCGTTGCATCAAAGTTTGAAAGGCTACGCTGAGCAGATACAGCAGAAAATTTGCTGACACAACACAAAAGGAGCCGAAAGAAAATCAAATCATGTCTGCAAATTTAAACAGAGGGAGATTATTTAACTGATCATGACATAATTTACACACAAGGAATTGCAGCTCACATTGTGCACAAGAAGTAAATGTAGTTCTGATTGACAGTAAGAAGGAAAATTGGAACTATTTTGAACTCCAAAAACATTGGTGCCTTAAAATTGTTCATGCACTTTGATGACCAAGCAGCCAAATCTGATATTGAATCTAAAGCTTTGAAGCTAATGAAAGCTAATGAAGCTAATTTCTCACAGAGGCTAGTTTAATGTAGCCTCACTTTCAAAAGACCCAAAAACAGCAGTCTCTCATTTCCTGAGAGGAGTTATGCAGTAATCCGTCTACTTGACCTACATGATCTAGTCCGAGCACATAATAGTAGTTTGCATGAAGCTTGAAACAACAATACAGATAAGTGTTAAAAAAATCTACTGGGAGCAGAGTTGTACGCACCATAGAGGCACACCCAAAGGAGCAGCACAGCGCTGCATTTGAAGAGGCAGCTCAGGCAACGTAGACGACCACCAGCCATCTCTGTGGGCAAACAAGTGACTGCTTCCTCTTCTTGTCTATCAAAATGCGCTGCCTGCAGCAAGTTAGTTCTCAACATTAAAATAGAAGGGGTGGAGAGTGGGGGAGGTTCCTTTCAACAAAGGGCCGAAGCAATGTAACCAGGCCTGATATGATGAAGAAAAAAAAGGCAAATCAGAGGAAAAACACACAAGAATACTCATAATGAGAGTCATGAAACAACATTTATCAGATCTTTAACTAAATCACAGCTGTGTGACCAAACATAAATCATCAAGATTGCCATGCACGACTAATCACTTGTCAAAGCACTCTTTGACTAAGTAAGCACTATTAAGTGTATTGCCTTGTATTCATTCAAGCTAACAAATAATATTGAAACTGCTGCAGGCTGTGGTATCTCAAAATGTCTGTTCAATGTTCATATCTAACCCAAAAGCAGGAAGAATTGAGCAACATCCTGTGATAAGAACGCTTATGTCATTTATAGTTTCACACCTGTCAAGGGACTTCAAAGACGGTTTTAAACTGCGCAGCAACTTGAAGACCCTTTGGAAAAGTTCTCGGATGCCAGTCGCACCATGACTAGCTCCTACAAGGTTAGGCTTCATGGTCTGACTTTTTGTGTGGTTAACAAAATGTTCCATGTTATGTACTATCTGTAAACGTCTGCTTCAAAGGTTTCCATGTTGTTATTCAAAAAACAAGGAGACAATAAGCCAAAGTTTTTGGGCCGTGCTTGAGCCGATCTCCTTAAACATACTCTGGGTAAGGATCTAGAACAGGCCAGGTCGTTTTTACCCGGGCTCAACAGAATCTGTGTTTTGTGTTAGAGGCATTAAGGTTACCATTTGGAGTATCAGTAGTTTGGCCCAATATCATTCTGTGCGCTTGAGCTGTGTGCAGATGAAAGTAATTTGTTGAGAGCAAAAGGGTTATTAGAACCGTTGACTGGTTATTAAGTGGGGGGGACAACAACAACAAAAAAAACCTAGGTGTCTGGAAAGGGGGGGGGGCGAGTGGGACTCAGGTGAGGTCTTAAAGTTATCCCAGAAGGATAACAACAAAAATCAAGATCACAGTAGATTGTTGAGGGGAAAAAATAAAGAAATAGTGTTGAGCCAAAACAGTTTTCCTTAAATAGATAATGTACTGAAAATTAGGAATTGAACCACTGCTGACAAGAGGCTGACTCAAAACTAAATGGTCCAGGACACCCAGAAAACTCTTAGGCCTTAACGTAAGAGAAAAGGCAGGAGTAGAAATATACCAACCAGCACCCCAAGTTGCACTCGGAGAGACTGACAATAGGGCCAAAAAAAAGCAAATACACTGAAAGGTTTTGTTTGTGTTTATGCAGATTAAGACACACACCCACACACAACTGACTGCAGTGAGTTGATTCTCTTACTCATCTCACTCAGCAGAAAAAGTGAGTTCCCTCACACTTGAAAAAATAAAGAATACACATCAAAAGGTCAATTGTCAAGGTAAAATATCAATAATTGAATTCTGCATTCTCTGCCCTGTTGGCCAGCACCAGAATCAGACACTGAATATCTGCTACATCAGGTCGCTAGTGTACAGAGGAGCAGAGTATGGTATGGGAAAACTGACAAGTATGAAGGAAGTTAGAAGTTTCTGTGGTCTAAGGGAGGACTGACGCGAATGTGAAACAGATTACTGCATACCTGAGAAGCTGATACTCCAAAACAAATGTATGCAATATAAATGTTGTTTGGACTTTAGCCTGCTTAACATACTAAGGTGTAGACCACTCCCGAAATTTTAAAATGACACTGGAAAAAAAAAAAATTTTTGGTTGTCTTATTAGTAGAAAAAACAAATAATAATCCGTCTTGGTGACGTTTCATCTGGGATGCAGTGTCAGGGGTTTGGAACGTCAACACCATCAATGCTTAGTGACTTTCTGGGTGCTGCCGTCTTTTGCCCCAGGTGCAGCTGGTGCCTCTCAAGCTGCTGTAAAGTGTGACATTTTGTCTTCATTTTGTCAGTTTGTGCTCTTTACTCTATAGTATGTGTGTCACAGTGTTTGCATGAACATGTGTGCGACTTCCTGCATCTTAAGTAGGAAGTGAATGACGCAAGATAAAGACCATCTCTGTCACACATTCTGATAAATGCTTCTTAAAGGGAACAGCCAATTTCCATTTCTACACTTCCACAATTCTACAGTTCATTTAGCAGACACTCTTCTCCAAAGCATCAAACATCAGAGAGTAGGTACAACACAAGCGAGGATCTGGAGAGGAGGAAACAACGACACCAAGTGCAAAGAACAGCTTTAAGTCTGATGAGACACGCAGGTGCTGACAGGAAGTGCACAGAAGCAGAGAACTTTTGAGTTTTAAGTAATTAAAGTTAATATATCGCCATCAAGAAAAACATCAACCGCTGTTCTTGAGAGTTCTAATCATCATCAAATCGATCCAAAACATCATCATCGTCTACATTAAAATCATCATCGTCATCTTAAATATCATTAAATGCATAGGTGTTCATAAAGAGCTGGGTCTTTAGCTTTTTCTTAAAGGTGCAAAGGGACTCTGCAGCGGGAATGGAGTTTGGTTTATTCCACCACCGGGGGGCGACAGAGGAGAAAAGTCCTTAGGGCGCTGTTGTGAAGGTTGGTTCAGACGCCTTTCATTAGCAGAGCGTAGTGGGCGGGAGGGAGCGTAACCATGGATGAGAGAGTTTACGTAAGTAGGAGCCATTTTAGTCGTTGTTTTGTAAGCGAGCAGCATTTTCTCCAAATGATCTCCATTGTCTTAATAAAAGAATGAAGAGTTCATCCTTCAGAATCATTTGAAAATTAAAAACACAATTTATCTAAAGGTAGTGAAAAGCCATTATAGTGTTATGAGCATGCTCACTGAAGGAGATCTTTAGACTATTAGTTTTGGTACCTCTAGGAATCAGGCCTCTACCTTTACCACAGGTTGTTTTGTTTTGTTTGTCAAAACGATTTATAAAACGATCATGTATCTTGTAAATGTGACGTTTGACTGTCTTTGTTTTCACAGTGTTCAAACATATTTTAAACATCCCTCAATTTATTGACATTGGATGTCCGACAGTCTCTGGGCATTCAGAGTGCTCGAATCAAAAGCTAAACAGTTACTTTCTTTGAGTAAAAGAGTAACATTTTCATGTTTGCTGACTTTTTTTTTTCTTTTTTCATAAGGAGAAGTGATACAACTGGTCAGTGAGTCAGTCAAGAAACAGAACCAAGATGTAACGACACACCCAAATCCTTCATTGCTTTTCAAAAAGATCCAGAACATTGACTGCATTTGATCAAACGTGTTTATTTAATGTTTGATTATTTCCACATCAACTACATTTACTCCAATAAAACACATCTGAATGGGTTTACAATACTAAGGGGAACCATTTCATTAGAGATAATATTTATACTGAAACATGTGAAAGAATGGAGGACAATACATTTAAAGTTAAATATTATAATCTACAGAATACATTTCAGTTACATCACAAAGCATAGTTTCAAAAAATACAAGTGAAAACTATTGAGCATCATGCACGCACTCACTGATGCGTCTACAATGAAATGTAACCACAGGAACCACTCGGCAGTACTTTACCGAAACTAAAACCACATGGCACCACCAAGTGGCTAAAAATATTAAAGCAGATTGCACAAGATCATTTGAACAGCCTTCAACAATACGGAAGAAAAAAAAGTTTTTCCTTTTGCATGAAGCATTAAAGGTCCAATATGTCAGATATTTACTGAATTTAAATCATAAAATGACCTTACTAAAACATCAGACATTGAGGAAACATTCTATGTTGCAGTGCTGGCTTCTCTGACAACAATGCAAGCAACAATTTGTTTTGACTAGAGAAGAACGTGATTATAAAGCACCCCCACACGGCCAATTTGGAAGCCCCCACCCCCGCTTGCCAGGCAAACAGCAAACCAGCAGGTGTTGCAGGGATGAAAATGGGCAGGCAAACTGGTTTAGATAAAACTGAATCTGTCCAAGCTAAAAAACTTGTAAAATTTGGTACAACAAGGATAAATATTGTTCTTTGAAAATAGAGCTTGTTCAATACTGAAGCTTTAGTGTCCAGGAGGAGGGGGGGGGGGGGGGGGGGAGACAGCTCTCTTCAATGTTTTGAGTTTGGACTGCAGTACCCATTTTAAACACTAGGTGACAGAGTTACATATCGTTCTTTTAATATTCAAAAGCAGCACCCTGAATACGTAAACATGACATGTTGAGTCCCCTGAGCTTCGACTGTTTTGTTGATGATGATGCAGCTCTTTTCATGAACCTGGAACCAAATCAGATAAACGTGTGAAAAAAAAGAGACAAATTGAAGTGGAAAAAAAAGATAATAAACTATCATGTTAAAAAGTTCTAACTTAAATGCGGTTCAATGCTCAGGTTCATTAAATCTTCTTATGGATTCATAGTCAAACACTTCACATATAGGCAAGTTAAGCTTAAGCAAAAGTTGTAATAACTAATTGACTCCTGATAACATAAAAAAAAACTGAATCCATTATAAAACAAGATTTTCTATTACACTTTTGAGCGGAGACCCTGAAGTCCCAAAAATTACTTTTTTTTGAACGCACTTTGCGCACCAGTTATTATCTTGTGGGTACAAAATAATAAGTTGTGCTAATACGTTTTTTGTTGTTGTTGTTTTTTTTTTTTTTTACTTTTTGGGACTTCAGGGGCTCCATACTTTAAAAATAAACTTCAAATTCTGTCACATGTGTTTATAATGAGTAACCTAACAACCCATGAACTTCTTGATTTATTTGACCTCGGGTGGTCGAACTTCATATGTCATACCCTCACAGAGATGTATTGCCATATAGTCCCCTTATTGTAAGTTTTTATACATACCTTGCATTAACTGTGAGTGTCTTATATACAGTATAGGCAGTTAAGGATGAGCAGACAGAGATGTGACATTAAGGTAATCGTTTGCTGGGTCGTCTGAAATAAGAATATTGAATGACTTGAGTCTTAATGTCTGAGTTTCCAAAAGAAGCCCCACATAATACAATTTTATACATCACCTGTTTCGGCGTTTTCAGGACCTCTAAGTGTTTCATAGACACAGCCATCACCTTCAAATCAGAAACGATGTATGAAATACAAAAGTCCCCTTTCTTTCTGAATCTTTTTCTTTAACTCTTTTGAGTGTTTATGAGAAGAAATAGTGAAAACTGGATTTCAGGATCGGATACGAGACTGACCGTGGGAAAGAGACGAGTAAACTTGCTGCTGTGTTTCATCTTGGTTGGCCGTCTGAGATTGTTGGCGCCTTAAACATGTAGGAAGAGAAGTACAGTAGCTGTAATCCACGAACTAGTATAAGTATGAAATGGATAAAAAAACATGTGAAGGACGTAGTCATCTTCAATGAGAGAAGAGTTAACTTACCTGTTACAGCATGGATCTGTAAGAAAAGGAAATACTGAATCAATGATCTGGATTGTGATTTGAAATAATAATTATCATTCAGCTTGCAAAATAATGTTTTTACTCTTGAACTTTTTGTAGCAAACCAGCAACACCAGTGAGATCACCAGTAGAATGGATATCTGATGGTCTTTTTAAAATGAAGAAGAGAATTCTTCAGGCCGTGTTGTGTGTGGTGGGAGCGTGGAAATACAGGACGTCACGGAGTCACCTGGGTACGATCTCCTCCGCCAGCCCTCTCTTTCATATCAGTTTAGTTCATGTGTAAAAAGAACCCGTGAAGTGTTGAAACAAAAACAAACGTTACTTCAGATTCTCTGCGTCCTCACGGCGTCTCTTCGACTCAAATTTCTGCCGGCTCCTCTGCAGGTGCTGCTTCTCCTCCTACCAACCACGCCTACCGCTAAAGACCCTGAAGTGAATCCTCCTAACGCATTATCATAACAACACGGCCAAGGTTTTTCTTGAGCAGCATTACGAAGCTGGTCACAACGGGCTCACACTTAAGTAGTACAGGTGGGGTGTAAGCTAGAAGCTCTTTCAGTGAAGTACAAGCTCCACAGAGAAAATAAACACCCTAAATGACTCACTGTCATTTTAAAAAACTACAATGTCAGAAAACAACATCCCTGCTTATGTTTGTTTTTCATGAAACAAAATGGATGTTTGTTTCTTTTAAAAGTTGGATAACAATTTTCTTATTTCATATCCTCAGAGTAAAGTTATGTATCTTTGTATTAAAGACTTTATTAATGAACAAAGTGCATTTGATATTAAGTCAAGTTACTAAAACTAACTCTGTGACCAAAATAAACTATAAACATCCTCAGAGAATTTGACTCAACAGAAGCCACACCAATAAAAAAAAAAGGTACTTTATAGACCCTCTGCACCAGAAGATACGAGTCAGGCAATCATTTCCTCTTCTCTGCATTTACCTTGCTCTTGCAGGTCACTGTTACTGTCACCAACCACTTTTTCAACCACTATTTACAGGCTCTGTAGTTAATAAATTGCATATATCAATAATATGAGAAGTATGGTATCACAGGTCTGTTTTTTAGTTGGTTATGTAGTTTCCATGCTTTAATTGTATCTTCAATTCTCACCACCCAATACGAGACTCTCCCTTGATTTACGGTTTACTTTCAAGTAAAAAACCTGAAAGGTTTGTTTCCATGTGGTTGTTGCACATTTAAAATGAAACTTAAAGCCTGTTCAGAGGAAAAACAATTACATTGTAGACATGACAGACGTGACAATCTAATGTAGAAACACCAAAATGGTTTGAACTTTAAACATTCTGTAAATAACTTGGGCGTGTGTAGACAAATAGAAGAGTTTCTCTTACCCTCCGGACTTTGTCTGCAGTGGAAAAAAACAGCTACCCCAACAATGACGATAACCAGCAGTATCGCTGAAGCCACGCCGATGACAATGGCAACGTTAAGTGGGCCTGCAAAAGATGATATTATCTTTAAGATGATATTCTCTTAATGATGAAACTGTTATGATTGAGTGATAAAAAATAACCATCAAGCTTTTTTTGGGAGGTCAGATAAAAATGGAATATGCTTAGAAAGAAAAGGTGCAAAAACAAATCAAGAAATTCAACTTTTTATATGAAGTAGTTGATGGTAAAAACTGAGCATGAACTCAAAGTGAAACATCAGAAATAGTCGTCTTGACGTGGTTATGTTTGCGTTCTCCTCTTCCTGTTTGGTGAAACAGGAGACTGTTGGTATCGCGAGCAGGCTCTAGATCTTACTCATCCTAACTACGTAGTTTGGAAAAAATAAATGTATCTTTTTTTTTTTAAAACCAAATAATATGAACTCAAAAGTGTCCCAACTGTTAGGAAGTCAAGCTAAAAATAAATGTTTGAATACAGCAACCTGTCAACAATGTGTTTCCTTCCTGTCACTTCTGATTCCCCAAAAATAAAAGATTGGGTCGGCCATCATTCCGGTTTCAAGACTTGTAAGTGAAAGTCCACAAACAAGTAGATCATTTTCTGATCGCAGTCTTTGGGGTTTACGCCAGTTTAGGTTATGTTAATAACCGGGGTTCTCTGAAAAACAAGTGTCGGCTAACATTTCTAAGCAGAGCGGTTTTTAACATTAGTTTGTAAGATTGTAAAAGTGGTATTATAAATGTATACATGTTGTAGTCATCATTTGAATGGAAGAATCTGGAGTAAACATTTGAGATATTTGAGGTATTGAGTTCTGACTCATATGTTTCCATTAGTTGATGGTTTTAGAATAAATACAGATGGACTAGTCAAACCACTAATAAGGAAAATCAGCCAAACCAACTTTTTTCTTGCGCATCATCACCAGTTGACATTCATGAAGACATTAATGTAGCAAAGCTTAACACCAATTAACACCAACCACTTAGCTGTACCTACTTGTGTTTATTTCTTGCGGATTGATGGTGCACTTCACTGTTGTGGATGTCGACATCTCGCTGACTGGATTGTAAATTGTGCAGGTGAACTCTGTGTCTCCATCTTGTGTCTTGAGGTCGTATTGCAGCCTGGGGCCATTTCTGATTTCCTTCCCTACAGTCCAGTTGTAGCTGACATCAATGTCAGAGTTCACACTGCACTGGAGCAACACCATGCAGGAGTTGGTGAAGGTCTGCCAGGTGGAGTTGCCAGTCAGGTTAGGCTGTTTTGTTATTGAATCTAGAGAGAGAGAGAGAGAGAGAGAGAGAGAGAGAGAGAAAGAGAGAGAGTGAGAGAGAGAGAGAGATAGAGAGAGAGAGAGAGAGAGAGTTAAGACACTAACGTTGGAGATAATATATATTGTGTGTAAGAATGAAAAGTGGAGTTTCAATTTGGACAGATTTTTGATTAATGCTTTACGATGTTTACTGGGAACATTTTCTTTAAAAGTCAAAAGACATGTCTTACCGTGAACTTTCAGAGTGACTGAGACTGTGTCCCTTTGTGTTCTTACTTCTGAGACAAAACTGAATTCACCAGAATCCTGCAGAGTCAGCTCTCTCACTGTTAAACTGAAGTTTGTAGGGTTCAGTTTTAATCTGCCCTTAAATTGTTTTTCATCAACAGTATTATCTTTGTTTGCAATGGTTGACCCTTCATATCTCCACTTTGCTGCAGTGACTCCTTCAGCTGGTAAACACGACGACAACTCCACTGTGTCCCCGACTTTTTTATGGAGGACATGTTGACAACTGAGAGCCTGCACATCTGAAACACACAAGCTAATAACAATTACTTGTTTTTTGTCGATGCCAAATTGATCTTGATATTATGACTTATAGTTGCACCTAAGAGAGAGAAGATGAAAAGGACATGATTTTGGGAGGCTGGGTGACATGCAGTGACGAGGAACACTTATAACTAGCCCATAACAGCTTTCAAAGTTACAGGAATGTTATTCTCCTTCATTCCTTTTTGCTCAGAATGATTAATTCCTGACTTGTAGCAAATGTTACTGCTGAAGTTAATGGTGTAGCATGGGCAGTTCTAGGCAGGGGCCAACAGGGGCCAGTGCCCATGTAACACTGAGCTTGGTCCTCCCTGTGGCCCCCCCTCCAAAACGAAAAGCACATACACAGTAACTCAACAACCGGACTCAAAATCTAGTCTTAAATACTGTTACTGAAACAAATATAAATCATGGTATTCAATGATGTTTTGGCATATTATATAGATATTTTTTAAAGCAATCATCTTTGTCTATTTTTCACCTGGGTTTAATTTTCCCCTCTGACAAAACAACTGGTCCCAGTTTGGCCCCCTCAGTAAAAGTGGTCTAGAACCACTACTGTGGTGTAGAGGTTCTGCTTCTGCATTTCAGTATGTAAAGAGCGGCTGTCTGTTGATTCAGGTTGAGTTTCACAGTAAATTAACAAGACAGAGTAGAAAAACAGTTCTTAAGGTTTTGTATAACTCCTTTTTGGGACCCCAGACTTGTGTTGTTGGCAGCCTACTAACTACAAAAATATTCCATTGTCTCTATTTAGACCTTTCTGCGTTTTTTCCATTTTTTTTTATTTGTTGTGTAATTTTGACTCCAGGAATAGTTGCATTTTGGTTGTGGAGGCCATTAGAGGCCATGTGGTAGGGTGGGTAGTATGGACATTTTCAACACCTGGCCAGCTCCCCCGGGCCCTTAAAGGCTGCATCGCTGTTTTGTTTGTGGTGGCAACTAGGTAGGTTATCAGTACGGTCAAACAAACGAGTGGTCTCTTCCCTGAGCGCTTCTCCTTTCATTAAGGCACAAGACAAGTATCTTGTGTTTATTTGAAAAAGAGTATGATTAAATCTCTGCATCATGTAGCTATAGTTACAATAACTTCTATTAGGCAAAGCAAGGCAAGTTCAGCTTGAGGCAATGCTTAAGAAAAACATCACACGTAAAAGTAACACAACAAGGAACATATATTACAATGAACTCCACTTCATAGAACGTAAATGCATAAGATTCAGACTCACTTTTTTCCTGACCTCTTCTTAAGTTCACCTTGACCTTGATCAAGTCAAGCTTTACCATCACAACAATAGTTGGTCAATTCAACAATACTGATGATCTATAGTGAATAGCAAATATGCATCATGCTGTTTTTTTCTGTATATTATTAATGTTGCAACTGCACTTCATCATACATGTTATATTTGTGTGTATGCATTAACCATGTATCTAAATGTATATCAGACTGTTTATACTGGTTATATTGGTTATACAGTTTTATCTCAGCATGTTTTAACTACCGTACCACTTATTGTTATTCTAATTAGAACCCCGACACATTTTACTAACATTACTTAGACTGCACCTAAGATCTTCCTGCACTTTAAGTTAGATTGTAAAACTGCATCTTAACTGTCTCAGTTTTTACACTCACAGTTACAGTAAAGCCGTCTAGTCTCTAACAGACAGGTGTACATACCATGCAGGCAGACCTCAAACAGCAGCAGAGCACTGAATGTAAAAAAGTATCTCAAATATCGGATGCGATCAGCGGCCATCTCTGGAGGGAGGAACGTCTGTTTCCTCTTCTTTGCTGAATCGCAAAAGAAAAAACGACAAGGCAGGAAGTAGAGCATGCAGTCTGACCAGACCTGATACTTTATTGTTAGCAGAGTGGAATAAGGGTTAAACATTTTATATCAATGTTTTCTTTTAACCCGCTGTGTGCTGTCCACATACAGCATTAGCTTCTTTATCCACACAGTTTGACCTTAGTTTATGTTACAATGCACATCAGTGATGAGCAAACAGCACTTTATTTTAAATGCAGCATCTTCAGTAATTATTTATGGTCAGAAGAGTCACATACAGGTTAGTTAACATCTTCATCTGCTCCAAATCTTGTACAGCTCATACTACAGCAGGACAACAGAAGAAGGATGAACAGAAGGGGACATAAGGGAAATGAGCTTGTTGCTGTCGACTGTGCTCATGGATTATATTTGGACACACGGTGGCAGTGCTGCCTCAAACAAGAGACCCAGTAGGAGCAATGAAGAAAATCAGGGGGCAGCAAAAGCAGCACCAGACGGACCAAAATCCACCACTCACAATCACTATTCATTCTGCATCTTCATTAAAACTCCTGACAAAGAAGCCATCAAAGACCTCACTGTTGTAGGTCAGGTCATCTAAATAAGTCCAAACCAGAAAGCCAAGCAAGCCTTTCAACCTGCTCCTTTACTCATGTCCACCTCACTAAAAATAAGAGAGAAAATAGAACAGAAAAAAAGGAAGATGGTGTAATCACCTTCAGCGTGTCCACAGTGGACGAGTGTAACCAGCGCTGAAATGAAGATTGATAGCTTATTAAATATGATCACAACTAGCAGAAACTGTTTGTTTTAAAGCTTCAAAAATAAAAAAAAGGTATTTAACAACAGCTGAAGTTTCAATGTAACTTTTAACGGCTGAAAAACGTCTAAACAGTGAATCATCATTGAACGTCAATCAACAGGAATGAAGTGAAGGCAGTTTCAATCAGAGACCTCGTCGTGAAATAAACAGAAAGGTGTATGACGATATGAAATTCAATAACATAGAATAGTCAAAGGGTTATAATAATAATAATAATAATAATAATAATAATAATAATTGGTATCATCTTATATTTTTTAAGAAAAAAAGGTGGTCAAAATTTTCTTGACAAATTAAGATAAAAACAAACTTGTACTCACTGAAAAACACCACTACACAGACCGTAGTGTGTGCCATGTTGTACCCAGCAGCGACCCACAGCCTCTGTTGAATGTCTGCTTTAAATCTTGAAAGCTGTTGACACTCATATCTTTAATCTGATCTCATGTTTCCTCCAACACCAAGCACAGCGTCTTTTCTTCCCTTTTTTAACACCCACACTTTACGATGACTGTCAAGTACACACACTGCTCGGGCCATGCAGATACTTCTTGTGTCTTGTTCTTGATCCAAGCTAAATGCAAAGAGTTAAGAGTACAAATTACAGTATGTCAAAGTGAAAGTAATTTAGGAATGAAAAGTTACTCTGAAACATCAGGTAGAATCTTATTTGTGTTGAATAGAAAGTGAACACCATGCAGGAGAAATAAGTCTTCAAGTTTTCATTCTCAATCTGACCTTTAATGCAACTAATGCAATTTGTTTGACAGCCAAAATGAACTTGTGATAGTTCACAGGTACGTGTCCTTCATCACTATTACGTTTGAATTTTCAGAACCTGGTATGAGCTGTGGGGAAAAGTAGATTATTCCCGTGGTAGAGGGAGCAGAAGTGTAGAATTTGTGATGCCTGTATTTGTCCTTTGTGTAGTTTTTGAACATTAAATCATAAAATCAATTTGTGTCTATGTGTGTATTTAACCATTGTGCAGCTTCGATTGTTGCCCCAAAGTTAAGGCAGACAAAAGAAGCCAACCAATCAGCATGGCTAAAGCATACACAGCTTCACAGTTCCTGTTCACACTTTCAAGAAGTGTTGCTGTGGAAGTTTGTTTATCTCCAATATGCACTGCTTAAATGAGCTAGATCATTTTTCTGACCTGGCTGTTCACACATGAACCTGTGGGAGACTATCCCTGTCAGACAGGAGGGGGGCCGGGGTCTAATGAGGTGAGACATGACGTAAAAAAAAAAAAAAACCTGGAAGTAGCAGAGGAAGCAACAGAGTCTGCAATACGACGTTCTAATGAGAATATTTGTCCTTATATCAATGCTACGTGTGGTTTAATGGGAATCCCAATATCAACAAAGGAGCGGAGAACAACATACAAAAGAAGAGAAAACATAAAGCAGCCGTTTAATAACGTGCACAGAGATTGAAGCGGTCGCATGCATACACTTAATGCACTGTGCAGCACTTACAGAATATAAACGTCACTCTCCCCTCCCATTGGCTCGAGGGGAATTCTCCAGAGAATATCCTGTTTTTAAGGGTCTGGTGGGAAAAACTCCAGGTGAAGTCAGAAGGAAATGTTTGGTTGTTTGCGTTCACACAAATATCAGGAGTTTTTCATGAGTTTTCTGGAAGTGTGAAAGACAGTTTATCGTCACACTGAGAAGGTATATGTCATGTTTTTTGTGTATTTTCATAAGCCTCTGTTTTGTTTATGTAGTTCTTTAATCACCCTTGTCTCTTTCATTTCAGATTCTGCTCATGTTCCCGCCTCGTTTGTCAGCACCGCCTTAATTATTACACTCACCCGAGTCTTTTTATCCCCGGATTGTCTTTGTATTGAATCCCCAGTTTGTGCTCCCTGTTGCCAGGTCGTAGCGTTTCCTTTGTCCTAGCATTTTTGTCTATAGCTTTAGTGTTTATGATCTCTGCCTGTTTTTTTCCCTTCTCCTCTGGATTTGTTTGAATTTCTGTGTACCAAACCTTGGACCGCATTAAACGCCTTTCCTTTTTGAACGCTCCCTCTGAGTGTACATCTGTATCTATTGGGTGCGTATCTTTGGGTCACAGTCTGGCACCGGTGCTGCTAATAAGTTCAACACAGAAGCTGTCAGGATATCTTAAAAATCCAATTTTATTGAAATGGCAGAAATCTGTACAGACATGTTCACCAATAACCATTGAAACTCAAATATTGTATGAAAGGCTTTTGTTTGAATACAACAAACTATAGTAGCACTAAGGTAAAGAACAGAAAATGAAATGAACTTAATCAAAATCTAAAAAAAAAAAAAAACAGAAAACAGGCTATAACAGCATATGCTAAGTGGTTAGCTTAATGCTAAACAGAGTAGAGATTTTTATACTCTGGTTATGTTCTCATTTTTAAATACTATTCCTTGTGGATAAAATCTTCTGCTCTCGATACAGCACGATACAAGTAGTTCAAATGAAATGTAACTTAGTCTAACAAAACAAAAACATGTGGAACGTAACAATTCAACTTTACAAACACTTTGTGTACAACTATAACTTTGTTGAAGAGACATATGTCACATTTAAACTTGAATCTGATGAATCAGTTCTTTTCTAATGTGACAGATACATGAGACACCTCAGGTCTTATATCTTCCTTTTCTACTTTGTCATTGCATCACAAACATTAGAAAATGACCAAAGAAATGATCCGCCCTGTCCCAATAAAGGCGGGTAACGCTGCTCACAACTTACTAGTGAAAGAAGTTAATCGATGCATGAAATGTTCAACCAAACTTTCAGGAATACAAAATAAATACACAATTTAATTTATTTTCTATGCTACTTACTGTACCGAATACTTTTAATAATTTACAAGCACGAGCACAAAATTATCACATGACAGCTGCAAATGCTAATCAAGCCAAGATTTTTTTTTTCACGCTGCCATCCATTCCTTACGTCTATAGATACAGAACTTTATTGATCTGGAAGAGAAGCAAAGGGGGAAGAAAAGATTAGTAATTATTTAAGAATATTGCAATCTTTACCAGACCTTTTTGCCTGTTTTAAAATCAGTTGACATATACATAAAATAAATCCTCATGATGTAAGGTTGCATTAAAACCATGAGCTGTACCTGGTTTGACTTCAGAGTAAACCGATTCTTCAGTTATCGCAGGAGTTGGCTTTCCTGAGAGAGACAATCAGTGTAAAAAAAGTTCATTATACTGAATATTAAGAATAAGCCTTATGTTTGTAATTGTCATGTATGTAATCGTTATTACAATCTGTCATTATTTGTATTGTTGCAGCCATTAACCCTTTCCCCCCTTAGCCAATAAACTGATTTCAGCATCATCTTTAAGCATTAAAGTTGCCTAAGTATGCAAAATGTTCAGAAGCAACACATCTAGAACAAATGCAGAATTCAGATGTATTAAAGGCACAGTATGCGGATTCCACCACCGGGGGGCGCTCAATCAAAACAATAATAAAAGATGACGTTGGTGCTGGCAGGGAATCGTGAGTTCTCTCTGCTAATCAATTTAATCAATTTTTTATTGATTTAGATATTTCAACGTAAACATTGTAATTAAATTCTACATATTGGACCTTTAATGTAAGAACACCTGACGGTTAATATTAACAATAAAAGCTTACATCACCTGCGATTTGAAAGAAAAAACACAACATTTATATTGTTCTGTGTTGGAGAAGAAAAACTGCAGTTGATTGCTTACTTCACTCACCTTTGTTTTTCTTGGCTTTACCTGGATTATGGCAGCTGACTTGAGAATAAAGGACAGATGTATCTAAAACAAAAGACAGATTTTAGGATTGGTTTTCTTTGTAGACTGAATTTGTAATGTACAGACGGACGGGTTGAAGGATTGAGAAAGAAAAATGTAGAAACACTTGAGTTTCTATGATGACTGTACAGATTATGTGTTATCACGATGGCAGCTCAGCGAATGTTTCTTCTTCTTGCTTTTGTTTGGACCCAAAACTGTCCATCTTAATACTTAATCTGTGAGATGGAAATGTTCTTAAAACACATGACGATCCGACAATAACATGCATCCAACATACGTTAATTTAAACAGCCAAACTGAGCAGTCACAGGAATAAATGCCCCAAATTTAGCTAACATTTGACAAATTTTGTCTCTTTTGACACCCAG